ATTTTAGAGGTTTTTTCTAAATAGAACTGTCTTTTTTAAAATTAATATATGCTTTATTAATATGCAAAATTAAAATGGAAAATTTAAAATTAATATAAATGAACACATCAATTATCATATTACATTTTAGTGCTCACAATATTTACTGGGAAAAATTTAAATTTTTCCCTTTTTCGATAGATCGATATATTGAGTAAAGATTTTAGGCATTAAAGTTTTTTTCTAAATCAAATAATAAAAATTTAAGAAAAATATACCTAGCAAAGTTCAGATGAAACCGGGATCCCATCCAGTTGCTTGGCAAGTAGTTTGCATGTTAGGAACACTGGGGTTAATATGTATACAGCTGTATTTACAGGATGCCCCTATCGTTTTGTTACACCCTTTCTCCAACATACCATTCTTAATTTCATTAGGACATGTAAATGCTGATGAAAGAAGAGAAAAATAAAGATTTCCCATATATTTAAAAGGTCCATTAAAGCCTAAAAAGGGTCCCTATCATAATTTATTTCTAAAAATTTTTATTTTGGTTCATTGTACAGTTTTCAAAAAGTTACTCATTGGTCATATAAATTTTTATTTTTGCTCTTTGGTTATTGTTATATTATAGTGATTAAGAATTTGTTGGAATTCAAAATACTACTTTGTTTACATTCTGGTACCCTACCAAACATTACTGGCAATTTCAGGCTATTTCCTTCAGCTGTTTAACTCTAAGTGCTCAAACTTCTAAAACATTTTAAACAGATGTTTGACCTTCCTAAAGAATTTTTTTAAAATCTTATTTCCGGGCATAATTTTGCCTTTAATCTAAACTATTTGCTTTTTTTTTGTTTAGTGTAAACTTAAAAATTATTTTTCATTTTTTCGTTTATAACAATTTTTACATTTTTTTCATTTCAATTGTTCTTACTAGAACTTATCCATGTATGTATATAGGGTGTAAGGGGGCCCTTCCTCTTTTAAAAATTTATCATATGGACAAAAATGTTCCTAGGATGGGAGATTTTTTAAATTGTAATACGGTCGAAAATGAATATCATTTATTCTCATATGTCCAAAATTAAGAAAACTACGTAGAAAATATTTGAAACATTATTATTATACTTGGCCTACCATACAAAAACTCACTAACTTGCTAAGTGAAACTAATCGGTAAAACATTAATTTTTATATGTAAATTTATGCTTATCTACTGAGAAACTAACGCACATTCTTCAATGTTATAAGCTCTTCAGAAAACCTTATCCAATTTCTGTTGTATAAGCACAAGTTTAAAAATTCATACCTTTCCATTGCATTTATGGTATTGTTTGCTATAAATATGTTACTCATATTTTTTATGCAATACAAATATATGAATGTTCAACGAAAAACAATATGACATAAAAAACATGAAATTGTTTTAACCTGTGACATACGTCCTTCGGGTTGCCAACTGATGGTCACTTTAAACAAAACGGCACTATCCTGTTGTCGTTGGCGACATCCATGGGTTCATTTGAACCATACACTTCTGCGCAAGACTGTGCCGTGTGCACGATCCTATAAATATTTTCCATTGCCAGAGTTCCATTCGCAGACAGTTATCTATAAAAATAATCCAAATTATATATAGATTTACAGAACATACATGTGTATATTTAAAATCTAATTCATAGTCGGTTCAATAGATGATCATTATGGTACATTATACTACATATGTAATTAACATTGACGAAATGAATAAAATAAGAAACAAGAAGTATCTTAAAAAGAACAAAGGAAAAAAAATTTAACTTGCATATGTTTAATTAGTCACCCATCACCATTAATTGGTGAACATTTTAAGAACTCATCCTTTTTACATTATTTTTATAAATGCAAAGAGATATCCGTTACATAATTTAGAAACTTATCCTTAAACAATTTTTTATTTTAGTTAGAACGACAATAAACGATCCTTATTACATTTTATTTTAGAAAACAATTGAAGTTCCCCGAAGTTCAGTTTATTATTCAAAAATGACAATGAAAGAATTATTTTTGTATTCAGTTTTCCCTAAACTTTTCAGGAAGTAATTAGCAACTAATTTAAGGACGCCTGTTCGGTCGAAAAACATGAGTTACCTTATGCAAATGAGTTAGAATGAAGTTGGGCTCCATCTCCATCGTGACTGCAAACTGCTCTTCTATCCTTTAAAACAACTGGTGTAAAACTATCTATTACAACTATACGAAACCATGCTTGTCCCTAGAGTTCGTGAGCATCGTTATCAAGCTCGCCATTTTCTATCTTGTCACTACATTTGAAACTGAAAAAGCAAGAAAGTATATTTTATATCTTATCGTTTTAACTTGAGATAAGAGCAAAATACAGATACGCTTTGAGCTATGAGTACAAATTTCTTTAAGCTGAACAAGGAATAAATAATATATTTATTTATCTTTTAACTTGAATTATAAATATAAGAAGCTTTAGCTACGAGTATAAAAGTATTTGACCATGCCAAAAGGAATACTTTTATTTTGCCAATTATTTGAAAACTTTCTTCTTGTTTGTTTTATTCAGCATTCTAATTTGCGTTTGTTTATATGCATGTCAATGTCTTTGTATTGCTTTATTTCATATCTGTTCTCATTAATTTTCTTGAATTACGCCAAATATCAAGTATAAATCCGATTACAAAAACTTAGATTGCCATTACGTGTGATTAGCGCCCATTTCCGGAATAATGAAATGTTCATTCGCTGCGTACACTATAGCCTTTCCCTCGGCTGTGTAATACCGTCAAAACACGCGTAGTCACATTTTTCACGATTTGTAATTGCACTCCGCACTAGGTTTTCCTAATCCATAACGCCCGACAACTGTTTTGAATATTGTTGATTTGATTTTGTTGTCACTTAGCATGGAATATTGAATATATTGAATCAAACTAATTAGAAATTTAGGAATCAACCCTCACTTCTTATCGGCATTATTATATTTTTTTTGCTCCTTGCTCATAGATTCCAATTATTTACTGCTAAGGACTGATACAAGTTTGTCCTCTCTGTGCTACGGGGTGTGAGAGATTTTGCATATTTCATTGTTTCAAATGAACGGACGCAAATTAACCGTGTTTGCAATTGTCAACAATTTCCTTCCTCTTCATAACACTTGAGGGATTCCCCCATTTCTTGATGTTTTAAGCTACATGCCTATTTATCACCATATTTCTACTGCGTTATTAACACAGTAAGGACAACTTTCGCATATGTTGACCTCTTTTGTTTGGTTATTCACGTGGACTGTAAGTGCCGTTTGCAACGTATAGATTACTTTCTTTGTTCATCTCTCAATATTTTACTTTTAAATACATTGTCAAAATGTTCATGATAATAAGCATGAACCTGGAGGCATGCAGCTTTAATATACAATAAATATTTAATAAATTGAACAATTCGTATATTTTTGTGTTTTATGCTTATAATAACATTTAGCTATAAAAATCAGTAAACTGTTGCTTTACAAACACGATACAAAAAAAAATGAAGATATCTTTATGGCATTTTAGTAAATGTACATGTATTACCACTGCATGCAATATCGGCTATATCCCAGTGTCCGTCACTCGTACATTTGAGTTTCCGTTGCGAGAGTGTTGCTCTATATCCATTATTGCACTGAAACGAACATTCTTCTCCGACCCGTAGACTACACTCACCAATTACTTCTCCGTTAGGTACTTGTGACGGACACTTCACATCTGAATATACATTATGAACATTGTAGTAAAAGTAATGGATTTTTTTCGGCACTTATTGGAGAATATCAGCAGATACAATAAAATTATCTTTGTATATTAATATGTCTTACTTATTTCTTACTTAAGAAAAATCGTTAATTCAGGTTAGAAGAAATAAACGTTAAAACACCAAGCTCTGTATTAAAATTACATGTATTTATCATATCATAAAGTTCTTTGAAAAGAAAAAGAATGCTATTGTAATGACGTCCAGTTAAAATTAAAACTATAGAAATACCGATGTTTTTGTGTTGTGTTTTTTTTTCTGTTATTGTTGTTTTTTCTTCAGAACTATGTATTGGATTAATAAATGTCTGCAAAATATATTTATCTTAATGTATAGCTTCAAAAGAATGCAATGATTCTAAATGCAAAATAAGTTTAAAATAAAATGCATAAAGCATAACGCCTTACAATGACTATTTTGAAAAATAGTATGAATAAAACAAAACGACTTTGAAAATAAACATACAATTGGCATATTTCTTCATCCGGAATTTTGATACGTTCCATTTGCAGTGCACACGATTTTTTGTACTGCCTTTACAAAACCAAGTTACATTGAAGTCACATGGCAAGCCAATTCTCGTCCACAGAAAGGATCGAGCATTTCCATTGGAATAATCGGTGGACACCTGGATTCTGTAAAGATATGAAACCAATAGATATTATCCGTAACTCGGCAAATGTGGGTTTTTTTCCTAGTTAATCCTCCGGTACAAGTAAACTTTTAGCGTTTCAATGGCTTACGGTGCGATGACCGTTTCACAATAGTTTAGTGAACCTTTAGCGCTTAGTTTCAAGACTATATATAACCGTAAATGATTGTTTTACCACCGACTTAGCTTGAAAAACCGAAAGTATGTTTTTATTCCGGAGTATTGCCGTTGATGTCATGAAATATATTATATGTATTTACCAAAAGAACGTTTTCTTGCACGCGAATTTGATACTTATGAAAACATGAATAAGATATTTTAAGGGTCATTAACGGAAATGAAACTTTTATTGAGCACTATACTTAGTATTGTACCATTTTGTCGAGCAGAAATAAAATAATTTAATTTTAACAGGGTCAATAAAACCCTCAAATGTAGAACTAACTGTTGACATTACTACAACACTTTTCTATTACTTATTTATAACGTTAATTGTATTAGATATTTAAATTTTGCCTTCACATAATGTTTTCGACTCCAAATCCCATCCAACATTTGTGCATGTTAGTAAGGTGTCAAAAAGTGGCACGAAATTAGTCGGACACCTATATCTGCATTCATCGTGAAGATGTCGTGGACAGAGGCTACTAAAAGTTATATCTATCTCCGTTGTTATCCCATTGACCTCAACAACTTGTTGAAGCAATTCCGTACATTGGAACACTGAAACATATATAATATCCATAAAAAATGCAGAAATAAGGAGTTATACACAATTAAAGGCCCATTATGCTTTTGATATGCTATCATTTTCATTTTTTGAAAAACCTTTTTTCATTTTTGGTATTTTTTTACGGTTTTCAAACAATTATTCATTTGCCTGTAGATGAACATACTTTTGAAAGAAATATGGATTTTTGAGGCATAATGTGCCTTGAAGGGCCGCTATTCTAATCTAATTTTAGCTTTAAAGCCTTTACCAGGTGTGATCCTGAGTAACGTAAGTTTTTTTGCAGTTGTATGAAAACAAAAATAAAAAATATGAAAATACAATATTCAAATATAAATATAGTTCTCATACGAGTTTACCATTTATAAAATCTTAGCAAAGTAATAGAACAGAGTCAAACTTATTTTGATAATATTGATGTATACAAGAAACTAGCAAATGTTTTGATTTACCACACATTAAAAGAGTATATGTTTGCTAAATTATTAATTGTTTTACGGCGTTATAACAAACAACAAAACATATACCGTTATTGCACGTTCGGCCATCTGCTTTTAGAACAGCTCCATTTTCACAGGCACATGTTCTGCCAGACATGGTCGGTAAACATATAGTACTGCAGTCCCCACGTCCTCCACGAGCTCTACATGCAACACTTACTAAAGTAACAAACAAATCAAGTAAATACGACATAGAGAATGATTCCATTATTTCTTTCCCATCTTTTCAAACGATATTTTTGTAAATAATTTAAGCAATATTCAAAAGTTAAAGAGTAATACAGAAATGGTATGTACCCTTTTATGCCATGACCTTGACATTAACCTTAAATTTCAAAGTCACTACCTTTTACCAAATTGTTTACAATATCATTTTTATTAAAGTATAAAAAGTGGACTGTTGTATAGTATGTGCATATTTGAATAGATAATAAACTACCTTTTCAAACTGTATCTTAAGATTCTGAATGTCTGCTTATTCCAGTCGTAACATCTTTTTCTCAAGTTAAATGGACATGCTTACGCGCCGGTTTCAAAAATAAAATAAAATTAATTAATTAATTAATTATAATAAATGAATGGGTTTTTTTAATTGTGAATATAATGATGATTTAGAATTTTTCTACTAACCTGCTTGTTTGTTTTTATTCGAACTGCTGTAAAATGCGATAGACTCAAGATTTCCCATCCCAGGACTTTGCCCGACTATTGCCCTTTCATATGGTGGCGTCAAGTCTACTCGTACAATGTGGCTATAAAATAGAACGGCTTATAATTATAGCAATTTCATAAGCAACGTAAGAACTTGTATATTATATGAGCCGCTTCATGACAAAACCAACATAGTACGTTTGCGACCAGCATGGATCCAGACCAGCCTGCGCATCCGCGCAGTCTGATCAGGATCCATGCTGTTCGCTATCAGTTTCTCTACTTGTAATAGGGTTGGTAATGCGGCGTTCACACAGTGCCGATTTCGGCTCCCGTTTGAAATCAGACAGCGTTACGACACGAAAAGCAAAAAAGTCGGATTACTATCCTCAATGATCTAGGATGTCCTATAATTGTCTGAACGCAGTCGTATATGTTCGTAACAGAGTCCTACGGATCGGGACTGGTCCAGAGAGGTCGGCCAAGCACTCCCGACAGTTAGGTGCGTCCCGTAACATTTGGGAAACTCTGTCGATTTTGTCTAGTCGGATTACAATCGGGACTATGTCGTGACAGATTCTGCTGTATCGGATCAAAATCGTGCTGTGTTTTCTGGTCAGTGTCCTGTGGACCGGGCATGATCTGGAGAAATTTTGTATTGTCGTTTCTTTCCGATTGAGTCCAGATTGCGTCCAGATCTTGCCGAATGCGAACCGTCTTTGCCGAATCCGTTCCGGAACAGTTCAGTAATTAATACGAAATTCGGCAATAATACCCACGTCAGAGTCACGACAATTACAGAACACGATACGACTGAGTCCAGACAAAGGCGTGTGCAATGCGGTACAGCAGACTGTAATAGGATTGCGTTCCGGCAGTGTCCCGATCATCCCGAATATGGCGACAGTTGTAGGATTCCAGATGCGTGGATTTCCAGATTCGGCTGAGCTGCTCACGTATGGAGTATATATATAACGTGTGTTTGTGTGTGTGTCATTCATTGACAGTACTTTGACCGGTCCACCATGAATGCTGCTCGTAGACGGAGACTTCTGCAGCAGGTTGCTCTCATGGAAATGGAAGAAGAGGAAGATGACCTTCTGTTTGCCAATTATTATTTGAACAGAAGGGCACTGCGACCCGGTAGAAATAGAAGATACTGGGTCAAGCCCTGGATATACAGAAGAGAGCAGCTCGCCCAGTATGACACATTGATGAGGGAGCTGAATGAAGAAGATCCAGAAGCTTTCATCAACTACATGAGGCTGCCCATGGAACTATACGATGAAGTCCTGGCTCGGATCACACCCCGCATCACCAAACAAGGTACCTGGTGGAGGCAAGCCCTTGATCCAGGACTGAAGTTTGCCTGTACCATGAGGCATCTGGCATCCGCGACAGTTACAGCAGCATAAAGTGGGACTTCAGGGTTCCCAGTAACACCATGTCAATGTTTGTCCCTGAAGTCTGCCAAGCTATAATTGATGAGTACGCTGCAGAGGTAATCGCCTGCCCCACTACCCCAGCGGAGTGGAAAGAAATCGCAAATGAATTTCTCCGCAGATGGAACTTCCCACATGTGTGCGGTGCATTGGACGGAAAGCACGTTGCGTGCAAGTGCCCACCAAATACCGGATCTACCTACCATAACTACGAGGGCTTCTTCCCCATAGTCCTGATGGCCCTCGTAGATGCGGACTATAAATTTATTTGGCTTAGTGTTGGGCCAGATTGAGCAGCTTCAGAGGCACAAATATACAACGAGTGTGAGCTGAAAGAAGTCCTGCGGAACAACACCATTGGCTTTCCTGATCCTGAGCCACTTCCTAGAGATGACAGAATAATGCCATACTTCTTTGTTGCTGACAATGCCTTTCAACTGAGAACTGACATGATGAAGCCTTTCCGTTCCCGTAACATGACAGTAGAAGAAAGGATCTTTACCTAAAGGCTATCAAGAGCACGCAGAGTTGTGGAAAATGCGTTTGGCATCTTGGCTCAGAGATTTCAAATACTGTTGGCAACCATGCAACACACTCCTGACAATGTGAGAATCATCGTACAGGCTTGTATCTGTCTCCACAACTTAATGAGAATACGCTATCCAAACATGAACATCAACCAGGTTGATCGTGAAGATGTCAAGGACGCAAGGATCGTACCCGGAGAATTGAGATTGGGTCGAAACATGCTTGACGTTGTCAATGTTCAGGGTGCTAACCGTGCAACAATACAGGGCAAGAAGCAGAGACAATATCTCAAACATTATCTTAACTCTGCCGTTGGATCTGTACCTTGGCAGATGAGGATGGTCAACGAAAACCTCATAATAAAATGACAGAACACTATGCTATTATGTGTCACATCTTGTATGTATCATTGGCTTTTAAATATAACAGCGGAGCATTACTTATTGTGTAGCAAAGTAAAATATTGTTTAATGTTTAATGAAATTTATTTTTTTATTTATGAATGGGTTAACTCCTAGTTTGGACTACTTTATAATTAAAGGCCACTTGTTTGGCAAAAAGTTAAAGTTGAAATTTAATAGGTTTAATAAAATTTAAAAGTTAAAATTTCATACAATATGAAACAAGAAAACACAATATATTTTTATCTTGAACAATATCTGATCAATATGTTATCACATTCAATAATAAGAAGTAACATTTTTTCTGCAATCTTAATACAGATTATTTCAAATCTTACAAGTGTTCTGCAATAATTTTGCAGATTATAGAGATTACTTTTGAATTATACAAGTTTGCTGTAATATAAATTCAGCATATCAGCAATTAGTTTAAAACTTAAATTCATAATTAAAATGCGAAAGTTGAAATTCTTATAGGACGGGACCATCACGGGACTGTCACGTGAAACGGTTTTCTAACGGATGTCTTCAGTCAGAGTCGGTTCATAGTCTCGTGACTGTCTGATCTCTGTCGGATCGCATTCGGGAGAATCGGGACGCTGTCGGGACAGATTCGGTCGTTTTTTACCATGACAAAGATACAAATCGGATCAGAATCGGATTGAGAACGGGATAATCGGGACGAATTCTGCTGGAAACGGCTGGATCGGGGCGCCTCCTGAACAATATCTGATTGTTGTCGTGATTAAATAAATGTTTTTACAAATTTTGACAAAAGTTAGAATTTCCAGTCACGAATCACAGGATCTTGATCAGACTTTTGAAACATTTTAATCGGGAATGATCCTATCAAGGACGGCAGTAAAAATCCTGAATGTGTGACTTAGGCATAAGCGAACAGCATGGATCCTGATCAGACTGTGCGGATGCGCAGGCTGGTCTGGATCCATCCTGGTCGCAAACGCACTATGTTGGTTTTGTCGTGACACGGCTCAATTATGTTCTTAATAGGAAGCCAATGTCAAAGAAATGCATAGCAGCTGTTGTCCTAAAACAATTTTGTTTCGAATTTTGAAATTTTCTTATTTCTGCCATACATATTAGGTTTGAATTTAATCATATAAAGCCATTAACTGACATTACAGATCACATGTTTTTTCCATTAAGAGGATTATTTAAGAGGTGGAAACTTATATAAATTTGTGATATCAACATACTTATAATGTTACCTTTGTGTTTTGTTTGTTTCCAGTAACGCCATATAAATGACTATTATAATTTAACATAACCATAAACGTTAAAATTATAATCTCTTTTACTGAATTGAAGGCCATGTGTGTTTCTAATCATAAAACATTAAAATAGATAACAAGAGGGCCATGATGGCCCTGAGGTTGCTCACCTGTATATAGGCCCCCGGAGCGGGGCCAGTTTAAACCCCAGGGCTTTTATTTGAGCAAACTTGGAAGACACCCATTAGAAGATGTTTCATGATGTTAAGTTTTTACTACACACATATAATGAAAAACAATGACCTCCCCCCCCCCCTTTGGCAGGTCCAATTTAAACCCAAGGGCTTTTATTTGGACAAACTTGGTAGACACCAACAAAAAGATGTTTCCTGCTTAAAATCTAACCTCTAGCTCATTGGATTTTTTAAAAGAAGATTTTTTAAGTTTTTACTATACACATATAGTTAAAAACAATGACACCTCTGGGGCGGGGCCAGTTTTAACCCCAGGGCTTTTATTTGAACAAACTTGGTAGACACTTACTAGAAGATGTTTCATTCTTAATATCTAAACTCTAGCTATTTGGGTTTTTTCAAAGAAGATTTTTAAGTTTTTGCCATACACATATAAGGAAAATCAATGACCCCCGGGGCGGGGCCAATTTTGACCCCAGGGCTTTATTTGAACAAACTTTGTAGACACCCATTAGAAGATGTTTCATGCTAAATATCTTAGCTCTAGCTCTTTGGGTTCTTTAAAAGAAGGTTTTTAAGTTTTTAACTATATGCATATAGGGAAAATCAATGACCCCCTGGGGCGGGGCCAATTTTGACCCCAGGGCTTACATTTGAACAAACTTGGTAGACACTCACTAGAAGATGTTTCATGCTTAATATCTAAACTCTAGCTATTTGGGTTTTTTCAAAAAAATCAAGATTTTTTAAGTTTTTGCTATACACATATAAGGAAAATTAATGACCCCCGGGGCGGGGCCAATTTTGACCCCAGAGCTTTTATTTGAACAAACTTTGTAGACAACCATTAGAACATGTTTCATGCTAAATATCTTAGCTCTAGCTCTTTGGGTTCTTTAAAAGAAGATTTTTAAGTTTTTACTATATGCATATAGGGAAAATCAATGACCCCCTGGGGCGGGGCCAATTTTGACCCCAGGGCTTTTATTTGAACAAACTTTGTAGACACTCACTAGAAGATGTTTCATGCTTAATATCTAAACTCTAGCTATATGGGTTTTTTCAAAGAAGATTTTTTAAGTTTTTGCTATACACAATATAAGGAAAATCAATGACCCCGGGGCGGGGCCAATTTTGACCCCAGGGCTTTTATTTGAACAAACTTTGTAGACACCCATTAGAACATGTTTCATGCTAAATATCTTAGCTCTAGCTCTTTGGGTTCTTTAAAAGAAGATTTTTTAAGTTTTTACTATATGCATATAGGGAAAATCAATGACCCCCTGGGGCGGGGCCAATTTTGACCCCAGGGCTTTTATTCGAACAAACTTGGTAGACACCCATTAGAAGATGTTTCATGCTAAATATCTTAGCTCTAGCTCTATGGGTTCTTTAAAAGAAGATTTTTTAAGTTTTTACAATATGCATATAGGGAAAATCAATGACCCCCTGGGGCGGGGCCAATTTTGACCCCAGGGCTTTTATTTGAACAAACTTGGTAGACACTCACTAGAAGATGTTTCATGCCAAATATCTAAGCTCTAGCTCTTTGGGTTTTTTAAAAGAAGATATTTAAAGTTTTTTTCTTTTGGTTGCCATGGCAACCAGAGTTCTGCATGGAATTAAATTCTTTGAACAATTTTTAAAGGTGACCACCAAAGGAACATTCCTGTGAAGTTTGGATGAAATTGGCTTAGTGGTTTATGAGGAGATGTCATTTAAAGTAAAAGTTTACGGACGGACGGACGACGGACGGACGCCGGACGAAAAGCGATCACAAAAGCTCACCCTGTCACTTTGTGACAGGTGAGCTAAAAACCATGTTCGTTAACTTTCGTTTTATATGCGGATTTAATATAACCAGAGAAAACTACTTTTTATACGTGGAGTGTTACATACAAATAAACTATACGTACTCTTTTCTATACGCGGAGTAATACAGGTAAACGCCGTCCGTTACAATATCTTGTATCCCCTCATCACGGAATGTTCCAGTCATATTTATAATCGTTAGACAATTCTCTCCATTCAGATCACATTGTTGAATTGTGTCGTAATGCGAGTCCGACCAATATAAATGATCATCTGTAATTTAATTAAAGTGACAAATTTGCGATATGATTGAATAACAGAATAAGACATAACGCTCTCGTAGTGCTTTTATCAATATATTACAATATACAATGGTAACAAATAACTTTCATGCACAGATATATGATTAACTGAAAATAAATAGCCTTGTAATAAGTCCGTGACCTGTTTACTTACCTGAACTGAATGAAAAAATAGTAAAATGAAATAAATATGACATCATTGTGTTTCTAAATAAATTATATTAATTTTCTAGATAAGTTTATATGCAAAGTAGTATACCCTTTTTATCAAATAAAAAAATAATGAATATATACTTTGATAGATTGTATTCCTTTAATGAAATTATTTAAAGCCCATTACGTGTACATAATCTTTGGGTAAAACATATTTTATTTGTCACGTGAGAACATCTTTACATACATAACATTTACAATTAATGCATAATAGATAAGACTGGAAGCAAATTAATGTTTATTGAAGTCTTTTCCCAGGATTTATAACCACTTCCTTGTCCATTTTTCCTTTCATATTGTATCAGTGGTCAGCAAGCGGCTATCTAAACCACACAGGCACTAAAACCAGGTCCAGTTTTCATCTTTACTTATTATTTAATCAACTTACGAATAAAATCTATCGCCACACCACTTGGTTTTTCAACATGGTGTCCCTTTATTAACTCAACTTCATTTTTGCCATCCATGTCGGCACGACCAATGTATGTTGAAAAGTAGTAGTCACGTGTATAGTACATAACCCTGAAGCCATAAAAATTGCTTTGATTACTATTATCTTAATAATATTCCAATCTTACATTAAAGGCCCATTATGCCCCAGAAATACTTTAACTTTTATTTCTCAAACGCTTTTTTATGTACTTTTAAAGTTCCAAAAAGTTACTCATTGACCAGTTACCTGAGCTATCTGTTTCTTTTGTCGCTTTTGATGGCAATAAGTACAATGTTAGTGATTTAGTATTTTGTATGGAAGTAAAATAAACCTGCTTTGGTTACACTGTGCTACTTATATAACAAATTATTTACTTTTGCCAGGTAACAAGCATCAAATAAGCTCTAAAACCATAATTTGAATGTTATAAATTTCATATTACCACTTTCAAAAGATGTAAAGATTTATTCGTTTCTGAGGCATAATGTGCATTCAACAATTTTACCTGCAACAATTGTACAAACAGAACGGCCTGCAGTTTACCGTGCAGAATGGCATGGCTCTATACTGTTGGTAGCTCAATTCTAGTAAATTGATATTGAAATCCCATAAACCTATATTGTTCTTAATTCACAACTGGGCGAACTATTACACAAATTTAGCAAAGGTTGAAGACTCTTGGCACCAGGATGTTAAGGGGAAAAACTTTAAAGCCATTTTATTTAATATTCTTTACCTCTAAACATGAGACAATAAGCAATAAACAGGCAGAACACTCCGTATGGTTACTTTAGTGCAGTAACGGGTTAACTCCTTACATAATTTAATAGGAATGAACCCTTTACTTCACTAAGGCGACGGTATTTGTATCTATTGACAACTTACATATTATTTAAAATAAAGTGGAATACTATTCATCTTTACAAACAAATGATTATATTAATAAAATACATGGCAAGTTAATATATGATTCAAAAAGCAGTGTGTTGTTCATGATTATACAAAAATCTCCTGACCTCATTAGTTTGAAAGCTATCTGACATGTAATTCATTTGAAGCGGCCTTTACAGTCAATTTTTTTATTCAAACATTTCCTCTATAAAATCAAACAAACCCTTTGCCAGGATGAAGCACTATGTCACCTAGCGATGTTGTTGTATACACACTGAACAACACCAGTGCTTCCCCTGATGGTGTAACAACTCCAATAAAATCGTCATAGAATGCCGTAAAGAAGATGTTTCCAGTAGTCATATCCTTGTCCAATCGTCGCAGATAGCCCTGATATCCTGAATTAAACAATTTTTTTCATAATTTTGCGCCAAAAGTAGAAAAAATATTTGCATTTAATTGGCATATTACTTGCTTATATAATTTACCATCCTCGATAACCCATGTGTACTCGTTACGTATACACTTATGCGGAAATCAGTACCCATGGGTTCCGACGATGATAATTTCTCATTGATTTCAGCTCAGCTGTTTCAAAGGCTATAAACTTATTTCAGCACTCATACAGTCCACTAAAATCTTGTTTTATAACATAATAACATCATCATATATAATCTATTATATACAAATGATATACAGTTAAATTTGGGTCAAAGACCATCTCCAAATTTAAATCAAACTGTAAATAAAGACCACTCTTCAACAACCCTTCATTGATTAAAAAGAACAACCTTCAAATAAAGATCACCTCTGTATCTCTAAAGGTCATGTTTGGTCTCTCTTGGGGGGGGGGGCTTTGTTCACAGGTTACATCAAAGTCAACAACATTACCTAGATTGGCTAGTTCCCGTTCTTCCGTACCATTCAGGTTAGACGTATACATTTTACTATCATAATTTTCTGTCCAGATAAGTTTCTGAGTACTTATGTCAAAGAAAACTCCTTTATACTGATCATTATCCGGGTTTGGAATGGCATTGATTGTATTATCATCCAAGCTTATCTGTAGTAGCTCATTATTTGTCATGTCTACAGCGATGATAAAATTGTCATCTACAACATCTGTAAAAGAAAGAGTTCAGGATCATATAAATGTTGTGTTGTTGTATGTCAGTGTTGTGTTGTCTAGCCTTATTGACATTAACAAATTAATACCATTAAAATATGTAAATTGCGATCAGTGGTATATCTAAAATTATGAAAAATAAACTAATTCTCGAACCGCTGAATTAATGTTATAGATAAACCTGTGTTGAATAAGGAATTTTTGTATTTAATTAACTGTTGACCGTCTGGTCTGCCTTGACCTCTATTTAGTCATGCTTTACTAAAAATGATGAATGTTTGAAAGATGTTTACCTCGGTAATGGATAAATGAATTTTCAGCATGCGAACTTTGAGTAGTCAGTGTTATAGACAGGCCCAAACTGGACAGAACTTTAACTGATAACTTTAACCCTGTACATGTACACTTGAAATCAGTAATGTCAAATCTAGGTTATTATTCCTATCATTTTGTCACCATCATAGCTGATAAACTTTAATTTTTCATTTTTAATACCCCAATAATTGAAATAAACTCTTTAAAAATAGAAGTTTGACAAGTGCATTAAAGAAGTTCTACCGGTTTGGAATTAAAACATTCACATTTGTATCTTGTATCTTTGTAAAATATTCATATTACTGCAAAATCTTAATTATTCGCGGGGAACTTTTCACGGTTTTCGTGGATACGTCAATCCATGTAAGATTATTTTGCATCATATTACTTATATGTTACCTTTTGAAAAAAAATAAACAGTCCACAAATTAGGAATCCACGAAAATGTTCTTTGTGACAAAACCACGAGTTTTATGCCCACGAAACTAAGTGAATTCGCAGTATATGTTTTAAGCTTTCGGACCTCAGCGGAAATTCCAAAGGTAAAGGTAAACATATTCACATTTTGTATTGTCATTAAATACATACTTGAGATACATGTGAGATTGTCATCGTCTAAGAAGTAACCAAGGCGGCACTCACACACTGGTGTCATAACGTCGTTAACATATGCTGTAATACATATCTGAGAACATCCGCCATCCTCAAACGCACATGGGTCTAACAGAACAGAACAGATGATTTATTTGCATGACATAAATAGTAACAGAATTACCCGGATGAAATTATAACATACGGACTTTCTAAAGCAAACTCGAAAGGTCCCATCAAACCTGAAGAAAACATAAAAGCTAACAACAAATACAACGTAATTCCATGTGTGACAACATTTAACCCCAAAAATAAGCAATTTATGTTAGGAAAAAGTGAAAAGGTGAACAGTATTTTAAAAAAGAAGCGTATTATAAACTCAATTAGGCAGGCAAAAAAACCTTAAACACATCATAACCTCTTCAAAGTTTGACATGAATGGTGTTTCAAAAATGTGATATATTCAATTATGTGTTACAATTGTAAGCAATTTTATATTGGCTTAACAAAAAATGAATTGTGTAAAAGTATGATTTTACATAAATTATAATACACCATACTTGTGTAGTTCGTCGACTGAAGACGTTGGTCTAAAACTTTCATATCAACTATTTCCATAGACGTGTTACCAAGATAGCCATTCCTCGTCCTTGACCCTGTCACCAAGTCATATGACGTCACAAAGAAATCACCAGGATGTACCCAAGCCAAATAGTTCTGAAATAGTGTATTTTCAAAGCTTTTGAATCAAATATGATAAAACATTACAATTCATTCACCGTGTTTTGTTTTTGTAAAATTCTCTGTGTATCTATGCTTGAAGTAACAGATCAAAACATTTTGTATAATAACGATGTTTTTTGTTGTTGCTGTTGTTGTTTTTGTTGTGTTTTTTTTAATTCAACAAAGCACAATTATAGTGGGGCGGGAAATAAGGTCTCTGCTGTCAAAATAGTGCAAATTGTGATACAAGCATGAAACTTTCAGGAAATTATCTTTAGACCATGTAGATTTCAAAAGTGAAGTGGGCCCAAAAATATCTCTGCTCATTCAAGATGGCCGCCATTTTCAAGATGGCCGCCATATAAATTTGATGTACATAATAGATCATTCATTCCAATTTTTTGTACAGACCTGAAACTTACACCAAAGCATGCGTATAGTTTCCCCTTTTCAAAAATTTAAATCTTTAAGCAATTTCTCTTGCATATTTTTTCAGAATCCAAGATGGCGTCCAATATGGCTGCCAATTTTAATGAAAACTGATATATCTCTTTTGTAGTATAATTTTTTGCACACGGTATGAGTATTTCCATATAAATTGTGAAATATAGTAGAAAAAATAAATTTTTAGGTTAACCACATTGTAGTCATGTTTTTAGTTTTTTTGTACAAAAAAAATATTTTAAAAAAATCAAAGAAAAGTGCCATTTTTTTCATTTTTCTCTAACATGGTTTTTCTAGGTCTATGTACAAAATTCCAAAAGTTACATAGTTTCTTAAAGTGTATTTGATATTCAATCAACACTATGTTTTATTGTATAATTGTAACAAAAACAAAACAAAAATGTGAAGGTTTTATACTTATTAAAAGTGGGTGGGGTAAATTTATCAGACAATTGTAGTACAAAATAACGTTTTTTAAGAATTCTTATGCAAATATTCACTGTAAAAGTATTTTATTGTATTAATGTATTTTTTGTTTCCTTCAGGTCTAGAGGGTGTACTAAAATATCAATAAATGCAGATACAATCATATGTATACATTCAGTTATTAAATGTGTTTGCATGATATAAGTTGTTTCAATAGTCATAATATAACTTGATAATTATACAGAAAGAAGACTGAATATTCATCAACGAACCATATGTTAGATAAAATCATGTCTGGACCTTAGTGAAATGTTTGTCTATTTATGAATACAATTATTTCCTGCACAATTTAGTCTTGCTAAAAGTTTGTAACAGAATGATTCAAAGTTATATTTACTTGCACATCATTGTAACCAAGTATAATTGAATAAGTACCGTCCATTTCTAATAACTTATGTAGACATGATATTTTCAAAAGAAACAAAAATTTAGGCGACTGATACATCATAATTATTATCTAATGACTAGGTGTGCTAAAATAGGTATCAATAAAACCGCTTGACCCACATAACAAACATAGCTTATACTTTGGAAAATAAACTAAATGTATTCCTACTAAACAAGAGAGAATTGTTGACCCTAGATCACGCGCCTCAGACCCACTGCTGGAAAAGGTCTATAATTCTTTTATACTGAAGAATGCTAAAATCTTAAAGGAGTATCTTTTTTTCACCAGTCATGATTTAAAGAATCATGTCCAATAACTAGGCTCTCAGAACTACAAGAAGACTCATATAACTATATTCCAATAAGAGTCCATGTAAACTAAGTGATTTTGACCCTATGCCAATAGTTTATAATCTTTATATATAACATCACAATGTTATGATATACGATATTTTCTCTTCTCTGTGCACATAGTTTCGGACAAGAATTTTAATATATAAGTCAATGTAAACTAAGTGACAGGGCAAGCCATTTTGGACTGCAGGAACATGATTTAAAGGCCCTCACGAGGAACACAGTTTTTAAAGACTTGTGTAGGGAATCGCATTGAAGTTGTTTTGTTGTTGATGTTATTAAAAAAAATCAAAAAACAAACAAACTGTAATGCCTAGAGCTTAGATAGTCAAAATATAACCTTGCCAAGTAAAGAAGACCTCTTTAAAAGTTACATAAAACACTTTTGTATCATTAAGTGTACATGCAATAAAAAAATCTTCTCAAAAATCAAAATGCATAGAGCACAGGTACTAAGCTGGCATGTAGCACTACCTTAGGTCTTTATAAACACATTTAATGAATCATGCTCATAGAGCCACCTGGGTTCACAGACTTGTATAGGAAAACACATTAAAAACATCTAGTGTTAAACTTCATTGACTTGAAATAAGGTATTTGGGATGTAGACTGATATAACATGCATAAATTTGTATGATGCTATTGCAGTCTAAAATGGTTTTGCAATGGTATCACTTAATTTACAAAGACTACTGTAATAAATATGTTTTCTCTTAAACTACACTATCCGACGCATATACATTAATCATGTATCATCATAATTATGTTTAATATAATGATATATCATGGACAACATGGTCCAAATTTACCAAACACAAAAGGTCACTAAGTTTATATGGACTCGTATATAGATATAGTTATTAAAGTTCTCTCGTGTGAAATAAAAAATTGAAAGCAGATATTGAGCATATTTCTTTAAAAGCAACCGGATTCAATTATGACACAAATCATGTGTGTTATGACATAATTGACACTCCCAAAATGATCTTGTTACTTTTTTTCCAACAATGATCTTAGGTGAGTGATCCAGGGACATCATTACCCTCTTATTGAAAGAAAAAAATAAGATATGATTACTTTAGGAAATACTAGTACACTTAGTTTGTATCTTAACTTTTCAAAAAGCTACATGCAGGCCAGGCCATATATATTGATATATATGTTTCACATCACATACATTTTGTTGGCTTTTAAGCAATGTTTATATTATAAATATAAAATTGTGGAGGAGTCAAAAATATGCGTTTATGGACTACCTTTATACCTTACATTCAAATACATGTTTGCTATTTTAAGCACGTTTAGTTGATTTATTGTCTTCTTATATGTCTTTACGATTAACAATTAATATATGATATCAAATATATTGAAACAAGAATTATCATGCAACCAAATTTAATAACTGAATGTATACACATGTTTGTATGTGCATTTCTTGCTCACCCACCAAATGGCCCGAAGGAAGACAAAAATACTTTCATCAAATAAAAAGTACTTTTTAAGTTGGAACATTTGCATAAGAATTCATAGAAAAGTAAAAAGGCAAAGAAATAGAATGAACTTAGCTATGTAGATTTTCTGTTGTTTTTTCTTTCACAATTATCATATAAAATTACCCCACCCACTTTCACAAAATATAAAACCTACAGATTTAATGCTTTTCTTACATTCTTTACAATAAACACATGATATTAATGGAATGTCAAATACAGTTTAAGATATAAAGTAACTTTTTTAACTTTGTACATTACTTTAGAAAATCAAATTGAAAAATATGAAAAAAAAAATGGAATTTTTTCTTGATCTTTTTTAAAGATGTTTTTAGACAAAAACTTTTAAAATGTTTACTTTTATTGAGATTAACATATAATTTGATTACCTCTGATATGTTTAAACACTTTTTTTATCATAATTAACATTATTTGTGCAACAAATTATACTATAAAAATGATATAACAGTTTTGCACAAAATCGACGGCCATATTGGACGCCATCTTGGATTTGGAAAAAGTATGAAAGAGAAATTTTGTGAGATTTAAATTTTTGAAAAGGAGAAAGTATATGCATGCTTTTGGTGTGAGTTAAAGGTCTGTACAAAAAATTGGAATGAATGAGCTAGAATGTACTCAAATTTATATGGCGGCCATTTTGAAAATGGCGGCCATCTTGAATGAGCAGAGATATTTTTGGGCCCACTTCACTTTTGAAATCTACATGGTCTAAAGATGATTTCCTGAAAGTTTCATGCTTGTATCACAATTTGCACTATTTTCTCAATTTCCCGCCCCACTATTAAGGTTCCGTATTTTTCCTAATTGAAACAATTCCCGGCTCACTATTTTACAATGCTCTTTCAGGCACTTTTATATAAGCCACGGGTACATGTTTTCTATATATCTAGAAACTTATTAAATAAGATGAATAACAAATGAAAAATAATAAGTTTAAAGATGATGGTCAGTGTTTTTTCAGCGTTAGAACTGCATACTTGGTTGTCTGATTTGGTTAATTCAGCTTTACTTAGTTTCGGTTTCATTTGAGTCGTGTTTAAGTCATCTATATAGATCCATCGTATGTGAATTCCTTTTCTCAACATTTACAGCTCAAAATGTTTGATTCAGCATTTTATTAGAAACATCTTCGCTTGCAAAAGACACACTTTCATTACCAATATTAAACATTTTCTCAATTTATGATTTATGCATGTTGTTATCTTTAAGTATTGTTGAAGACTGAATACTGCAAAAGCCGGTGCTAGGGGGCGTGAGACTTGTTTTACTTTTACATTTCATCTTATGAACAGACTAGAAAAATCGCGTCTAAAATTCTCATGTTACTATCTTTAATATTTTGGCTAATATTGCCATTGCTTCCGAGGGATTACCCTTTTTCAATTCTGTTAACGAAAAAAATATGACTTATATATTTCTTACTTGATAAAGTATAAGGCCAAATGCACCATCGTCGACTGACATGAACACGAAATCTGTATTCTTTGTAATTATTGATACTTTGTACAAATAATATCCATTTATATAGTATAACCTGAAATCAAGAAAACAACGAATTATTGGCAAACTAATATTCAAAATGTTCAGAGAATTATGATTAAAAATAGAAGCCATGTTCACGGAGGAACTTAGCCCCTTACAATATGCAGCCACACATGGCGACCGGGGGAGCCTTCTTCTGTCATTTTCATAAGGTACTTCTCTATGTTTTTAAAATTTAAATTATCATTACATAGGGCTTGAATGGAAGCATAGTTTTGTAGCGTAATGATTTATGGTTGAAAAAAAATAGTAATCTAGTACAGGTATACTACATATAGCCTAGAAATGAAATAGTACTGGTATTCTAGAAGGAAAATAGTACTTGTATCCTATAAGTAAAAAGTACATGTACCCAACAAGTTATATAGAACTGGTAACCTAGAATTGAAATAGTACATGTAATCTCGAAGTAAAATGGTTCATGTATCCTGTAAGTAAATGATACATGTATTGTAGAGGTGAAATAGAACATGTATCCTAACTCATTTTTTTAACATTCAAATTATCAATTGTTATATGCATCAAACATCTTTGAATCCATTATTAACACAATTTTGGCTCTATCCTTTCTAAGGAATATTCGTCAGTTGCAAGTGAAATGCATGAATGTATAACTATAAAAATCATATTTATAACTTTTCGCCTATGCCATATTGTCTGACATAAAGTCGACATGTTTTGTTTCACAGCGCACCAACACAATTTATGTCATATGGCGCCGAAACAGGAAATATGATTTTGGCTTTCCTCGGGTGTTACAAACTTAAAGCAATACCATGGGTCAAAACCACCTCACCTGCTGGAGCTAATATAAGTGATGCATAGACTCCAACAATTCGAAACCATTAAGTCGCCTCTTTTGTTCACGCAGGAATACATGCTGCGATTCTGATGTCTCAACCCTCAAAGACAACCCCGCTGCCACAGGGGTAACAGTCAACTAAAATGTTTCAATCCAAAACTCAACTTATATGTTTCAATGCAAATTGAATGTACTTACACCTTTTCGGATTTGTCATAAGTTAAACCTGAAATTGTACTCATTCCATGCGATATTGTATTGACACGTGACCCGTCCATTGTCAGCGTTTTTATATATTTATAACTGTTAGTTCCCGTGACCATCGCCAACATACTGTGAGAATCAGAAAAAACAACACATGCATGAAACACAAGCACTTAATATCCTTAAATTTAACTGGTCTATAATGGAAGATCGGTTTTATCATTAACATTATCATGCTTTATCATTTAAGATACTCAGACAAGATGCGTGAATGTCGTTTATTTTTTTATGAATTATAAATAAAGCAATGATTAAATTAATTTCTTTTGTGGTTTTATTGCAACAAATTAAATGATACCTGTGGTTTGAAATAATAACAAGATTGTGAGCCCCGGCAAATGTGCTGTAATCTCTGTTAACGATTCTTGAAGCTTTTGTTTCAACATTTACAACCCAAACATCTCCTTTGTCCGATTCACACCAATATAAGTTATCCCCATCGTCTGCATCGTAGGCCAAACCTAAACACATTCGTGGAAACAAAACAAGAAACGGAGCACTCATATATTACATTTATAAAGTACGAAGTATGTTTGGCGACAAGACTCAAATGAATGCAATACTGCTAAACAAATACGTTTCCTTTCCAATTTGAAATAATCCATTTTCAAAAAGAATGTTGTTTAGTTTTAACATATTTATTGCAAATATTATATAATCAGACTTCCAACATACAAACATTTTAACAACCATATCCTAGTATATCTTACACGCAATGGATTTTGATGGAAGCACTAAATGCTTATTAAAAATAACCAATTACAACACAAGTTAAACATGGGCTTAGCTGGAAGATTTATATGTAAAGAGCATATTATCATATAATGTTGTTTATGGCAAACCATGGCAAACTTAGGTTACATTTGACAATAGTTGTCCAAATTCTGATGGACCAATAGACCGATGTCGTTTTAAATAAACAGATATGTCAGTAAAATTTCAAACATTATTTCCATACAGCATGTATTAAATAAATGTATGTGTGCTTTTCACAGGCATGGATAAGAAATAATTTAAAGTGTATAATTATACAATAATATATAATACCACTGATATTTCCCGACGCCGACACTATCGCTTCTTTCATATCGTTTTCTATTGGCAAATCTATTGGTCTTCCATAAATAGTATTACTTTCTGTTGCAAAGAAGAAGATTCTTTTTTCCATGTCCATATCAAACATCATGATAAAATCAATCGGTCTGTCTGAAATTAAGTGTATTTTTCTATAATCATAGCCTGCACAAAACCATCTATTTAATCATTAAATCTGTTATTTACCATTTTTCAATCTGATTCTGATCAGTATAACTGATATATTCACATTTGAGCCGTGTCACGACAAATCCAACATAATGGGTTTGCGACCAGCATGGATCCAGACCAGCCTGCGCATCCGCGCAGTCTGATCAGGATCCATGCTGTTCGCTATCAGTTTCTCTACTTGTTATAGGGTTTATAAGCGAACAGCATGGATCCTGATCAGACTGCGCGGATGCGCAGGCTGGTCTGGATCCAAGCTGGTCGCAAACGCATTATGTTGGTTTTGTCATGACGCGGCTCTTTGTATTTTGAACCACAATAAATGCTAGAGAACAAATAAGAACAAAGATCAACAAGGCAAGGCGACGTAGACAGAACGCATCAACCGACAAAACCCAGCCGCACTAGCAGGTTACTTATTACTGTCTTGTGTGTTTTTATTGGTTATTTTCAAACAAGGCGTTGTTTTGATTGGTATATTTTCAAGTAAGGTGATGTTTTCTTTGTTAGTCATACTAGTGCATGTTTCCTTTACAAAAAATATATTTTCTAAGTTCAACCTTAACGCTAAAGCTTTAAAAAGCATACAAGTCAAACAATCATGGTGAAAGTATCGCTTCCATAAGTTTTCAGATATTTTTGGTGGTCATAATGAGTTCATTTTGACTAATACTAATTAAAACACAAATCTAACAAATTTATTTAAAGGTAAGCATTGACACGATTTAAATATGATAACCATGCAGTGTACATCTGCATTCTAGATAAACAACAGGAAGTCCTTCCTACAACAACGGAAGTGAATACTTTTGCGCATTGACACTTATGACTTCAAACCACCATAGCATAGCTGCTGGTTCGGATCTCGTCAGAGACTTAGTATTCTTTGGTTCTACTCAGGTGCCCGTTTGTGCCTGAAAAATGCGGGGGCGCCTGAATTATTAACCAACATTGAAGAGCAAGAAAGTAGCGATATGAGCATTACAGGGTTGGTGCGACGTAAAGCCTAACAAAAACATATGCTCATACAATCATTTATTATGTTATAAAGGACAAATTTACTTGTTGTCACTCTTGTTGAAGGCCGCTGCGTTACTGGAGAAATTGTAGTCTTATTGAGCATCGGTTTTGTAACTGGTCCCGTCCATGCTGTTGGCGTTGTTCTTCTACGTGTATAACGACTAAACCTTGATAATGTCCTAGGTCTAGTATATCTTTGTGTAGAAGGACTGGCTACGTTCGGTTCTGAAGTTACCTGCTTTGCTGTACTTGATAACAAATCCTCTGTTATGCCGACTGGAGGGGTTGATAAAAACGTTTGTCTCTTTTTTCTCTTGAACTTGGAAGGAGAGTCCTATAATGTTTAAAAAAAGTATTAAAGCTTTTTGTTTGAATATCACAAAGAATAAGTCATGTCTGGCGGCTTGGCTTATGGGTTAAGGATTGCTGACCGCATGGGTTTAAACTCTGTCAGGGGCAAGCCGTTGTTTTATTGAGCAAGAAACTTTACATTCATTACTTAGTATTAGTACTGGTTAGTTCCAGGAACAAATTCGGGAGTGTTTTAATAAACTTACAACTTTCAACACTATCGAACTAAAATGAATTTGTATAGACACTGAAAGAAGTCAATTTTTTAATAAATACATACATGTAGTTCTCAAAGAGCAACTATATTTATTGTACGACATAGTCTAAGGTGCTCAAGCCTCTTTACTTATACTAGCAAGAGTCTAAGATAATTATCTTTGTTTGTCACAACCAACCCTCAGGATACTATTCAATTGATAAAAGAAAAGACTTAGGATAACAAAGAAATAGGTCAGAAAACTCCTTGGAAGATGTTTGAACTGCAACCACCGTTAATCCCTGCGTGAATTAAATGGGTTCGAATTACAGGAGTCTGTCAGCAGGAAATGTGGTTTTGGCAGTATTGGTAACACCCGAGGTTAGTGAAAATCCTTTTTACTATTTCGACGCCATTGTACCTTAATGGTATTGGTTCCGTGAAACTAAACAAAACAAATCGGTGCGCTGTAAAACTAAACAAAACAAATTGGTGCGCTGTAAAACTAAACAAAACAAATTGGTGCACTATAAAACTAAACAAAACAAATTGGTGCGCCGTAAAACTAAACAATACAAACTAATAACACACAATTACGATAAAGAATAATAATGTTATACAGTATACTTACTGTAAATGAATATTTAGTTACCACGGTAAATCTGCAATCATACTCATGATCGGCCTGAGCAAACGAGCGAATGTCAGTCAAGCATATATGTGTCTTGTTGGCAACAACAATTGCTTTGTGGTATCCGTCAAAAATCTCTGCAGATAAAAGTATATGTCAAATAGTCAAATAGAGAAAAACGAAATCCCTACAAAATTGAAAATGGTGCAGGCTCGGTTTGATTGAGTCTGTTCATAAGCTAAAAGTTACCGCCCATGTATCCTAGGACCGACTTAAGCAGAATTCAATATGTAAACACGAAAACTGTTGCGAAAGATATTTTATATATTTGAGCGTAGCTAATGTCATCAATATTCTATTTAAATAGAATTATATATGTACCTTTTGAGAACAGGTTTAAACATTTTTATTGTCAAAAAAGAAAGATATACATGTACATATATGCAAACACAATTACAATACAATGGTATTATGGTATTTCAAGTTTGATAATTCCTTAAACATATATCATATGTTTAATATTACATGATAACAATCCAGTAAAGCATAAACAAGATATTGTAATTTAGAACCACGTTACCTTTACATTTTCCAGTATTAACATCTAATTCAAAACCTTCCGAACATACACATTCAGCACCGGTTTTGGTAGATATGCACATATGGTCACAGTTCTTCTCGGCACAATAATCTAAAATAAATATCATAAGAATAAGTATAATAATAAATAAATTTTAGTAAGAAAGGCATACAAGTATAAAAATAGAAATATAGGTAAAGGGCGGGCAATATTTATTTACTAGAATTGGTTGCGTTTTTAGTCATTAAACTATTGGTTAATTTGAAGAAGAAGTAAAGAGTATAACGGCGAGATTGGAAATGCTGCAGATTCGGTTAAATTGAGACTTTTCATGAACATTATTGGTAAATACAAGCTACCGTCAACACTCCCTAGCACCGGCTAAAGCAGAGTTTAACATTGTCACACAAAAATTGTAACATTTCTAATTTGGAAACATCTGCAGATGCGTTCAGACTGCGTTTATCGTGGAACCTTTAAAATTACTGCGGTAATGACTTCGATGTCTTTTGTGACGTAATATCGTTCTGAAACATTTACAAAATATATGTTAATTAACAAAATATTTATTTGATAATTTCACATAACCTTTTTCTTTCAATGGTTGTTTTTCCTCTGAGTAGACTGCTAAACCATAGAATATTTCAGGAAATATTTTGATTATAGTTGATTCCTGTTTTCCTAGGTGGATACCTTTGGTTGTGTTCAAAGTATAAATGTATCCACTTTGAATATCACTGATGTACACAACATCCTGAAATATAACCAAGTGAGACGCCTACTAAACACATTAAAACATTTGCTTCAACCTCAAATATATAGTTCTTTCATTACACTGACGGACAAATTTCTAATTCTTGTTCGTGTTCTTGTGATGATTAGTAAAGAAAATTTAGCATTCAACAATCTCTTGCAAATAGATTATACATGTATACATATCAACGTACATGAAATTTTGGCAACTACCGTAAAAAGTTTGATATAACACCACTGAACGTTCTTCATATTTTGGGATTGCTAAAAAGCAACACGCCTCCAGATTCATGTTTATTTTCATGAAAATTCTGGAAATGTTGTTTAAAAGTTAAAAAATTGTGAGGTGAACAAATTAAGTATATTTGCATGTTGCAAACGGCTCTTTCAATCGACGAAAATTACCCAAAAGTGGTCAACATATGTAAAAACAGCCCTTACTGCGTTAGTAACACAGTAGAAATATGGTGATAACATACTGCAAAATCAGTCTAAAACTGCATATAACATGTAAAATATAACTTGAATCTTGAATATTTTTACCTTTCTTATAATTTCAGTACATTTTTCTCAATAATGGTTTTCTTGAAATATTTTGGCTCATCTGGAGGCGTGCAGCTTTAAAGTGACATTTTGACCATAAAATAGTAAATAGAGTATGTTCATGTAAAATTCAAAATTGCTTTTTTCTTTGTCATATTTGTTTTCAATTTCATAAAAAATCGTCATGTGAATAATCAATAAACATTATTTGGACAATATCAGTATAGTTCAATTTATTAAAAGAATAGGGCAGACTTTTCATGTTTTCGGCTGCTTTTTTATATTTTACCCTATACATTTTTCATTATCAATTGTTCATCAATTGCCATTGGAATTGTCAATTCTTTTTAAATGTGCATCTATTTTTTTTCTCGGTCCGACAATGAAAAACATGAGCATGTGAACATTAGACTTTATGTGAAATAAAACAATATCAAAAGACTAATGTTCAAAAGATGCATGTAACAAAAATTGAGTTTTTCATTACATACATTAACATCCAAAGGTCTTACCCTAAAAATTGCCAAATCGAAAAGCCCTGAATTCGGAATTTTCTGAATTGTCATTACGTCATTACCATCATATGTCGACGAAAGAATGGATTCTGATAAAGAATCTATCCAATAGATACGTTTGTCAAATATGTCTGCTTCAAGAGTCAATGGTGACTGCAAATGTTTCGAAACTATGGTATGACGATTGTCTCCTTTTAAATCCGAGCGTTCTATTTTTGGATGTTTTCCATTATCCGACCAAAACAGCAGTCTGCAAATGTATGAATGCTTTCAAACTTCTGTCTAATAAGAATTAATAGTATTGCCATATTTTGGTTCAGTATTTAACTGCAAAACGGATAAAGAAAGTTTTTGCTCTTACAAATTGAGAAATTCATTAAAATTAAAACATATGATAATTATTTTGTAAAATCATTTGAAACATATGATAACAAGATATGTTTGTAAAACATGTATTCCTCATATCGGTAGCCAATTAGTTACGTGGTCAGGTTATTATGACCGACTTTTAACATAGTGACCAAAAAATCAATAGGGGTTATCTACTGGTCATGAGTAGTCACTAGGTCATTGAGATGTAAAGGTTGTGTGCAGCAATTTTATGACAAAGTTATCACAAATCTTACCAAATCATATATATGATCATGCATAAATTTTATGAATCATGTAGGCCTCCTTAATTACAGCCAATTTGTTATATTACATAAGACCTTGAAATGTGTATACCAAAAGCGTTTTTATTTTAATAAAAATATCAATTAAGGCAAACTCAGTTGTCGATTATTTATTGATCAGAGACCGTTTTACCTATGAGGTCAATGTGGCCTTGACCTTTGACCCCTTGACCCTAAAATCAATAGGGGTCATCTACCGGCCATGTACAATCATAACACCAACCTAGGTCTAAACGTTCTTTAGTTATTGATCGGGAACAGCGTTAACTACACGGTCAATGTGACCTAGGTCAAAGTGCCCTTGAGCCCAAAATCAATAGGGGTCATTTACTGGTCATGTACAATCATCATACTGAATTTGAAATTCCAAAGCCTAAGCGCACTTTAGTTACTGATCGGAAACCATTTGGTCTACGGCCCGACTGACCGGCAGTCAAATGCAAAGCAATATACCCCCACGTTCCATTTCTTTGAAGGGGGCATACTTAGTTTGTAGATTTATTTGAAACATATGAAAAATTATTTTGTAAAATTATTTGATACATATTACAATTATTTTGTAAAATCTTGATGTATGTATTACGCTTCAGCTTTGCATTACAGATTTTAAATTTTATATTTACCCTTCAAGTGGATCAATTGTTAATCCGTCTGGTGCTTCTAGATGGGTATCAACAACTATCTTGTAATAATCCATATCTATCTTGTCACTTTCACCAGGTGCTGCTACTATCCAGCGAAATTTAGAGTCACTCCAGTACACTGTATGGGATAGCCAGTCAACTGCTACTTGAATATTACCTCTAGAGACACCCATATGTATATTTTGGAATTTCATATCGGTAAGGTCTTTGCTAAAGTTTGTACCAACCACTATTGTTCTGTTAAATGTAAGAGACAGTGTTATTTTTAAGGTCAAGGAAATACATTTCTGTGGATCTTTGGATCAATCAATATGACATTTTACTACATAACATATTAGTTAAAATGAACTAAGATTTTAGAAAAGCAATCGATAAGTAGAATCAAGGAAGTTATTAAGGTGTTATTGCATAAGTTGATTAATAAAAACCAGACCTAGTAAACTCTTTGGTTTGGGTTGTTTGGAAAAAGACTGCGTCTCATTGCGTTGACTGATCGAAATGGTTTATTCTTTATTCTTATTTAACATATTAAGCTGCAAGTGAGTTACTGTTAATGTCTGTAATTGTATACCTTAGATGGTATTCATACATATAGATACACTTTGTTCTGTAGTCTACATCAATGCTGACGAAATGAATGTTTCTGTTGGAAAAAGTAACCCCTGGTACAGTACCAGAGTAATTCTCATGGCCTGGAAATACTGGTAAATGCCGAAGCTGAACCGGAGTTCGCCAACCATATCTATTCAGAGTGGTAACAATCAGGCCACGTTCTGAAAGAACAAAACCTTTACTATTTCCACTTATCATATCTTTTTCTAGAATTGATTAAATCAACAGTGTTTTCCCTTGATATGCTACTATAATAAAAAAAATGATGCTAAATACATAAATACATGCAAATTTTAAATCTATTTAATGGCGCAAAATAAGCCTATTTTTCTGCGGTTTTTAAATCTTCGGTGTCCTTTTGAACCACAGAATAGCAGAAATATATTTACCCCAGAAAAAGTACTTATACCCCATGTTACTTAGTGTCGATTAGTGTTTTAAGTTATTTTTTTTGTCCAACTAGAATGTATTATTTGAAATGAATCGTAACACAATTATTTTGGTGTATCGGCTAACTATTAATTAGTCTATTAAATCGACTGTTTATAAAAAAATCTCAAATAGTGTTCATATAAGTAAGTATTTACCAAATGAAATTTAAATTACCAATTTAATTTAGTAAATGCCTACTAATAAATTCCTAACCTATACATAAAATAATTGAAATATTAATAGATAAATAACTTGTAATTTATTTTAATTCCGTCATAGCAAATAATATTGAATTTTAGTTTTTGGTGGTCGATCATAGTTTTGAATAAATAATTATCTTAATATTACCATGAATCTTACTAATAATGACAAAACATACTAACAAGGGAATAATACATTATTGTATTATATGATAATGATACAAATAAAGATCGATGATGATGATGTTGATGATGATGGAGCAGAGGATGAAGAAGAAGATGATGATGCTTCTACTGCTGTTGCTGCAGTTACTGCTGCTGCTGATGATAATGATGATGACGGTGGTGGTGGTGGTTGTGGTGGTGATGATGTAAAAATTATAAAATATTGACAAAAGATATAAATGATAATCCTATGTATGGTCAAAATAATAGGTTAAACCTGTTTGGATTATAATTGCTCTTCAAGTTTATATGAATTGGTAATGCATATTAAGCCTACCTTCCGGCCATGTTTCTGGGTCTGTTGTTTGTCCGTTACTGCCAAGAAATATCCCGACCATGAGTGTGGTAACGAAAAACATTGCTTTCATCATGTAACACATTTTGATATTTAACAATTTTTGTAAGATCCTAAATATCTAGGTAATCCAATGAAAGCTTCATTTACCATTCCAATCAACTTTCGTACCTTTATTGTCTTAAACAGTTAAAAGATAGTCAATTAGATGAACAAACAGGCGTTTTTTCCACATCGTAGTTTGTTATATTGGTAAATATACCGTTATAAAACCCACAATGTATTTGCACTATACAGCATGCGTCTGCTCAAAACTTGCTCTTTGAGGTTAAAACTAAATTTTCGGTTTAATTTCCTTTCAGGTAAAAATAATCCATTTCTTTCAACTACTTAGCTCTTCATTGCTAAATATGTAGTAGATATAAGCCGAAAACTGTCCAATATGTAAAATATAATATTTCGTGAGGCGCGTAGCGCCGATGGGAATTCAATATTTTACTTATTGATAAGTTTGAGGCTTAATTACTTATCTTTATCTTTATCTAAAACTACTACTTTTGCTATCAAATATCATGTTATCCATCAAAGCATTAGAAATACTGCATTTTTGTGCTAAAAATGTACAATTTAAATGTTTTAGAAATTATCTTTTTACTTGGAAATACCCTATAGGTAGCCTCTTGAATAATCAGATGTCCGTAGCATGAAATTTTTGTGTTTTTTTTAAATGTGACCAATTATGTACCTGAACACAATGATATACACAAAATATACCAGTTACACAAATTGTGGACTTGCACGCATACAGTATACATCAATTTACATTGGTAATTTTTACCCAAAAAAGTGAAATGTAAAGTTTTCAAATTTGTTATAAATATCTGATATTTTGAATGATTGACTGAGATAATTAATGTCCTTTGATAAGGATTTATACTGATTATTTAGTATAGGGTATTTTGTATGGATTTTCAATTGAGATTTTATTTTAATTTTTGTTTTTATTTTACTATATCTGTTTACCACATATCCTAGACTTTTAGACTATAACAATGTACATAATATTCACTGTTAGACACTTTATTAGTGAAAAATTGCTGTTATTCAGTATCTGATTCAAATTTATTAGAGCTTATTCTCCATATTGTATATTATTCTCTTTCATTTGAATACCAACCGTGACAAAATGTTTTATACGTATAACTAGTTGATGTATATCGAGATACATGTAAATGTATATTAAGTTAAATCAAATTTTCTTCTTTTCTGTTTACCACAACTTTCAACAATTCACGGGTGTAAACTGTTGTGTAAACTTGTGTTATTGTGAATTTTGGATATTTACATAACAAAATGATACTTTCTTATTTTTCATTTAATATTTGTCATACCACAAGAGTCTGAAATGTTTTTATATAAATGTAAAACATATATGTAGTGAAATATAACCGCTTTTGTTTATTTATTTTCTCTGTTACGTTTATTTGAAAAGCTGAACTAACTGAAACACTTCGTACATACAATGAAGCAAATCCAGTATTATTGTAAACTAAATGTATGTACATGTTTAAAAACGAGAAAGAAAACGGGAAAGTTAGGCAAGAAATTAAACCATTTAAACATTGCCATCGAAATCATATCCTTGCACTTACACCCCGTCCTTTCACTGAAGAAGCGTAAACAATTATACAGTACGATTTTAAGAGTCAGTAGTCTTGAAGATAGTATTCGTGAAATGAGCAAAGAATTCATCGGTGTTAGCATTACTTTATCGCATATAATAGTTATTGTGTTTTCTTTTTTTTTTTTTTGGTAAAATTTTGTTAAATGCGTTATGGGTTGTGTTCCTCATTTTTACATTTACATTTTTCTTATTTTTGATTTGGATAAAATTCGATAGTCCTGTGGTCATACAAACTTCTTTCACTACACGACAGGCTGTCAAATATCAATTTGCTACAATATTAATAGTGGACTTACACAATAATATTGGACGCCTACCTGTACTGTATTAAAAACACAGTACGGAGAGGACAATGGAATGACGTCATAGTAGTAATTTACATTTTAATAGGTATTCCCAAGCTTGAATTATTTATAGCAGATTATCGGCAGCCAGAATCACCCAATGGCATTGTAACGTTTATATTTGACTTCTGTATAATATAAATCTAAATATCTTGTTAAATAAATTAACTATGCTTTAATTTTTTCGTGAGCTGATTTTTCAGAAAGTATTATCTAGTCTATTTTATGATACAAGTTGAGTATTTAAAAATGAATCTATCGTCTGATAAAATTTTTAAAGTTTTAAAAAATTTTACTTTCGCTATTTCAACAAAAATGGAAACTCTTGTACATTAATATATATGCCTTTTTTCCTGTCGAATTTCCACGAAAATTTCTTAACTGGTACACATTTTCCCCTTTACCGATTTATTGTCGAAACATTCCTATTTTTCATTTTTAGCGAAATTCCATGGAATATTCAATAATTAAACTATCGATTTAGATTTAAGCACAACTGAACATGATTTCGACACTTTTAAATCCAATCTTAAATGGTATACACTGGACTTTCAAGTGACAACACTCTTAAATCCGTTGCTTTATTCCTTAAACATAACTGAAACGGAATAAGACATTCCTCAATATTGCACAATTCATTTATAAGACGCAAAATACAGACTAGATATACGAAAAAAAAAGAAACGAAAGAGGAATTGGACCTTTTAACAACCGTTTAATATAAACCTTTTTGGAAGAAATGATACTTAAATGAAGGAAACGAACCTACTTTAGAAATTAGATAATGTGTAATTAGGTGAAACTAGTACGTATTCATGTTTACTAAATAATTGGATATGTAGATGCTGTGGCATTGTGGTATGTAATTTTAAGATTTAATTTATAATCCCCTTCTGCTGTACATCGTGGGAATTATACATGTATGAAAAGTACAAAAAGAGATATACTAGACAAATTGTGCTACTTAACATCTTTTTTTAAACCTTGTTGTCGGATAGTCCAATAACCTTTTGGCCAGTTGAGGTGAAACAAACTTTGAAAATATATTTAATTGACCGAAAACTGAAATACCCATTGGTATGACTGCAGACTGTCCTCTGATGACATTTTTGCACTGACACCGTTTAAAACTGTATTAACTTTCACGTTTATGCATGGACATTATATACAGTTAAATTACAAAGTAAATAATTGAATAAATTATTTATTAAGTGATATTTATATGATAAAGAAAGAGACCTACAGAAAGAGAGAAAAAAAATATTTTTTGTCATACGATGTATTTTAATTTACATATCATATAAAATCAAGTTAAGCTGTTTGTCTGTATTCAGGTGACAAAAATAGTTCTTTATTCATTTTATTTTTATTTATTTATTAATTTATTAATATATTTATTTATTATCTATTTATTTATTATTTTAGGCGTGCATAAATACTAACCTCTGAAGAGCAACCCTTTGCAGAGCAACGCACTCTGCAATTTTAACTTTTTCTTAACTTAGACTGCACAAAATATTTAACTTTACCTTAACTTAGACTGCACAAAATATTTAACTTTACCTTAACATAGACTGCACAAAATATTTAACTTTACCTTAACTTAGACTGCACAAAATATTTAACTTTACCTTAACATAGACTGCACAAAATATTTAACTTTACCTTAACTTAGACTGCACAAAATATTTAACTTTACCTTAACATAGACTGCACAAAATATTTAACTTTACCTTAACTTAGACTGCACAAAATATTTAACTTTACCTTAACTTAGACTGCACAAAATATTTAACTTTACCTTAACATAGACTGCACAAAATATTTAACTTTACCTTAACTTAGACTGCACAAAATATTTAACTTTTCTGGAGCAGGAATTCTCTTAGCAACCAAAATATTTGCTCTGCAAAGGGTTTTACTGTATACATGTATTTAAATTTAGCTAAGATTATACAACGCAAATATACTGTTTGAACATGTGATGAAAGAAAATAAACTTATATGAATATATAATATACGTGCAAAAATGACGATTAAACGTTGTTTCCAATAGTTTTTCCTAAAACATATTGAACTTACTTTGAAATAAGAAATAATTATGTTTAATTTGAACTATCAATATTTATATGCATGAAGACTTTAGTAACATAAATAAGGTAATCGAAAAGAATTTTTGCGTGTTTGTTTGTTGTTTTTTTTTGTTTTTTTGTTTTGTTGGGATTTTTGTTGTTGTTGTTTTTATAGTTTGGTAAAAAAATACAATATTCCGTACTCAAACGGAGACTAAAATTAAACCATACGTGTACATAGTACGTTAACTCAGCTTCTTACACTGCGCCTTTAGAAATTTGTCCAAACATGTGCTCCGAGACTGACGCTGATATTATAAGTCATACAATTTACATGTTTTCTGAAATTAATTTGTACTGTATACCAGTGACGGTTTGATGTGTATTGATAAAAAGCTATCAAATTTGTGTTTTACCCATAAAAAACTCTAAAGAATGGTATGTTACCTCATGTGATACCTTGATACAATGTTCAGACATTTAAATGACCTTTTGTATTATTCTAAAATCATATGTGACCGAGTTAGTGTGAAGGGATGATTTAGGCAAGATATGGGTATTTAATTTAAAGTACATATCAACTCTACTTAGAATATAGCATTACAGGTATACGCTTAAAAAGTACTAGTATTAAATATTTACGACGTTATGCTTTCTTTATAAGTAAGACTGTATCAAAGTGTTTAGTCCGGTTTTATGTGAGCGTTATTGTATCTTTATTTGAAAATTAGCAGGGAAATCCTGAATAAATTATTAGTTATAAAGATTTTTTTGGACATGTTATTTTACCCTATATAAAACGGTTGTTTGCATATATTAATGAAGCCGCTAGAAATCTTTACAACGAATTTATAATACAATGTACAGCAAACTTTCTTGATGAGAGAGAAAAATGACATTTTTTAATAAATTGACAGCACATAAACGTCACAATTATCCAATGATAAGCGACGTTACAAACGTGCAGTACTATAAAATACCAACACGGAAAATATAAAACACATCCTAGAGTTTCAGTAATTCAGAAATAACTTTATGCTTAATTCAAGTTTCTATTAATTTCTCTCTAAATACTTCCAGTGATGGTTAATACTGTCTTTGAAAACGCACACCCAAATATAAATTTACGTGAGAATAGCAGTTCAAACTGTATGATGAGTGATGTTAGATGTTAGACGAGTGTCGTATTGTTGAGAACTATTTTAATTACCAGGCAGTCTTCAGAATTAGGTTATTTCACGTATTTTATAATTTTCTATGTGATATATAAATTCAAAAGAAGAGAGGTAGTCCGTGCCGATGCAAAACCGAAAGTAGGGTGTTTTTATTAATTTTACATTTATTTTTGACAATATACTGCCATTTGCCCAAAGATGATATGTAAATGAACATATTAAATATGTATGATGCATATATAATCAAGCCACAGGTTCATTTCAGCCCGAAAAATATGTCGAGGTGATGGCGAGGCAAGACATGTCGATTTTTTGTAGCTTATTGTGAAGTTACAGTACATGAAAAACGTGCACATGACAAATTAGCACATAAATAAAACATTCTAGTGTTCCGTGGTATACATCTATTCCACGTGTCAAACCTCCTTTCCTTATTACAATGAAATTTTTCTGGATTGTTATCCATCGCTGGTTTGTTTTAGCAGAGAATGACCTGTGCTTATGCAGTACCGTTTGAGCAGATTTCGCAAAGAGGGTACCGATATGGATATGCACTGTGAATTTATTGATTGTCTCTTATGGTGGAAGGTTTGCCTTTACGGGTTTAGTTAATGCATCCGTTCAAATTATTGGAGTCTTGCATCTCTTAGCTCCAGCAGGTGAGGTGGTTTTGACCCCATGGTGTTGCTAAAGGTTTGTAACAACAAAGGTTAGCCAAAATTATCTTTTCTGTTTCGGCGCCATGACATAAACTGTGTAGTAAGCCAGAAAAACAGAAACAAACAAACAAACAAAACTTTGTTGATTTACTTTGCTGTCTGTCTCATTCCTTTTAAATTCCATACTTAAGTTTGCGCCCTTTACAAAATAATATATGACTGCCAGCAATAGATAACAACACTTAATGTCATTAATTCTTTCTTCAACAGACATAATTTTTATAAAGGTTTTTTTAAGAAATTTAAGCGTTTAGATCTAATAAATAAAACTATGGAAATCCTCTTGTCCTTATTTATTCATACTTACCTATACATCTTACATCTCAAAGCTAATACAGGGATTTTTTAACGTCAATGACACTGTAAACGTCTGTTGATGCCATTTCCAAAATGAGGATTAGAGTTGCTTCGTCATGTGGGCGGTCAATTATAGTTTTTCTAACAAAATTTCATTGACTTATAATAACTCTATATTCTTTTGTATTACATTTTATTGCATACAATTTTATAAAGCAAGAAGGATATGAAAAGTAATGCGGAAATCTTAACAGAACGTGTATAGTACCCTTTAGATCTATATGAATCTGTTAAAAACAATGTGTTTCAACAAGTTCAAGTTTGTAATATGCAAGTGCTTAAAGAGAGTAAAGCGATACCGGGAAACTACATGTACAAGCATTTGTTTGGCTCGCAAGAGTATTTTGTAAGGAAACATTTTATTCGTTTTAGTGGAGCAAGACAGCAAAGATATTCTCTGTTATGATATAGTGTTTTTAGTTGTTGTTTTAAATTCAAAGTGTAAATCCAGGTATATAACTTACACCCTTGTATTTAATATACAAGAGCAATTTGAATCTTGCCTACAGCTAATAACACGCCTGTATGATTTATACATTTACGGAACATGCATGGCACTTTAGAAGTAAACGCTTAACATATTTCAGAATGTACACTGGTCTTTATTATTTCCTTTTAAGAGCAGAATCACACGCCATTCTCTCCTTTACACTGTTAATAGTAAAAAAAGTTTCAATTCCAGTCAAAACAAACATACATCGTCATATCCGCATATAAGTACTTAGCCAATCAGCTTTAGCGATTCGGTCATATATATGTTAATTATTATCAGCCAATAAGCGTCGACGTATTATTTTTAGATTTTATGGTTATTGCTGTTTCAGCCAATCAGTGTATGAGACAGTTTTTGTCTTTAGGGATTACGTGTTGCGAGACTGCCGGCAACGGTTCGTTATTATACAACGGGTTGACCATACTTGTAGAGACCGTCTCTTCTGTGATATCGTTTAATCTGAAAATAGGAAACAAAACGATTCATGTACACTTAGCGAGAAAAGCTCGATTATGCTTCCAACATTCAGTTAGGCCACCCTCACTTAATTCGTTGTTTACTGTTTGCAAACGTATACTCACTTGGAATACACAAATGATAAAATATTTGTCATTCAGTGTATTACAATTATGTAGCTCTACTTTGTATTAAATCCGCAATGTCACGTTCAAGTAATTGCTAAAGTATTAAGTACATTTCTGGTATACCCAAACCTATAATGAATGTATAGCCACTCATAAGGGTAAAAAGATCAAGTGGACTGAAACAGTTTAAGTTACTTTATATACTACAGTATGACGAGTGTCTATAGCTATGATATAGCTATAATCATTTAACAAATAGTGTAAAACACAACTTTACACTAGTTATAACGTATTACTGGTTAATTTTTATACGCCCGTTTGAAAAACGGGACGTATTATGGGAACGCCCCTGGCGAGCGGGCGGGCGGCGTCCAATTTTGTCCGGAGCATATCTCCTACATGTATGGAGGGATTTTAATGAAACTTCATATAAATGTTCACCACTATGAGGAGCAGTGTCGCGCACATGAACCAGGTCTCTAGGTCAAAGGTCAAGGTCACACTTAGAGCTCATTGAAAAATGCTTGTCCGGAGCAAAACTTCCACATGTATAGAGGGATTTCAATATTACTTGGCACAAATGTTCACCATTGTGAGGCGGAGTGTCGCGTGCAAGATTCAGGTCCTTGCGACCAAGGTCAAGGTCACACTTAGAGGTCAAAGTTCAGATAAAAATATGAAGATGTGTATATGGACCATTTAGTCATCATTTATTGAGGATTGTAACACAAATGGTCATTATCAAGACTATGGCTGTGATACATATAATTTAGGTCAATATATACAAGGTCAAGGTCACTAAAGATGATGAAATATCCAGATTTTGTAAAATAGAATTTAATCAAAGGGAGACAACAAAGTTATTACTTTTGTTCATAAATGACTTACACAATTACTCCCCTTGATCTATTTTCTAAAAATAGAATTTAATCAAAGGGCATGAAATAATCCTCTTTCTTGGACTTGAGTATGTTGTAAAGAATGTAACATTTATTTACACATGTTTCATTCATTGGTCAAGATACTTAACTGTGATAACTATGGTGTTCTGTAGACTTGGTATTTGTTCATAAAGATCATACAGTAATTACCTTATCAAATGTAGATACTTTCTCATAGAAATTTAATTATATTTTAATTTTCAAGTAAATATCAGTTCAGCTCATTCAAAGATTAAGAATTGTAATGAAATGTATTTCCCTAGAATAAAATCTTAAATCAGAATTTTTTAGTTATTAAATTACATGTACTTTTTATACGCCCGTTTAAAAAAAGATAAAAATATGAAGATGTGTATAGGGACGATTTAATCATCATTTATTGAGGGATTGTAACACAAATGGTCATTATAATGACTACGGCTGTGACACATGTACTTTAGGTCAATATATGCAAGGTCAAGGTCATTAAAGATGGTGAAATATCCAGATTTTGTCTGGAGCATATCTCCTACATGTATGGAAGAATTTTTATAATACTTTATGGAAATGCTCACCACCATGATATGTATTGCTCCATGCATGATCCAGGTCTCCAGGTCAAAGGTCAAGGTCACACTTAGAGCTCATTGAAAAACGCTTGTCCGGAGCAAAACTTCTACATTCATAGGGGGGTTTTCAATATAACTTGGCACAAATGTTCACCATTGTGAGGCTGAGTGTCGCATGCAAAATTCAGATCCCTGCGACCAAAGTCAAGGTTACACATAGAGGTCAAAGTTCAGATAAAAATTTGAAGATGGTTATAGGGACCATTTAGTCATCATTTATTGATGGATTGTAGCACAAATGGTAACTATCATGACTACAGGTGTTACACATTTAATGTAGGTTAATATTTGCAAGGTCAAGGTCACTGGAGATGATTAAATATCCAGATGTTGTCCGGAGCATATTTTCTACATGCATGGAGGAATTTTAATGTTACTTTTATAGAATTGTTCACCACCATGAGACGTAGTGCCCTGCACATAAACCAAGTCTCTAGGTCAAAGGTGAAGGTCACAGTTAGAGCTCATAGAAAAACACTTGTCTGGAGCAAAACTTCTAGTTCTACATGCATAGAGGGATTTCAATATAATTTGGCACAAATGTTCATCATTGTGAGGCTGAGTGCCGTGCATAAAATTCAGGTCCCTGCGACCAAGGTCAAGGTCACACATTCTGTGCATATCTTCCCTACTGATTTGTTTTAAGGTTCATTTAACAACACAGTGCCAAGAATAAAAACTTGCTTGCTAGATAACACTTATCCATAATGCCCCCATCTCCATCTAAAGCTTTTTCGTAAACGGGCGTATTTTGTGACTATGGCACCCTTGTTTTTTAATTGCGTTTATTTAAGGTCGCCGCCGGAAAGCCCATATGGGCGACCGTACACTCAAGTCGGGCCATCCTAGAGCGTCCCGCCGAGATTTTTTCGTCGATTTTTTTCCAGCTTTATTGCAGAGGAAGACCCCAGGTGCCCCTCAGGGCATTATTTCAGGCACGAGCGGGCACCTGGGTAGAGCCACCGACCTTCCGTAAGCCAGCTGGATGGCTTCCTCACATGAAAGATTTCGACCCGAGTGAGGATCGAACCTACAGCGGTGAGGGACCTGTGATCTCAAGTCAGCGACCTTAACCACTCGGCCACGGAGTTACTGGTTAATGTGGTGTTTTATGTAGATTTATTGCCTTATTCTTCCATTGGGATAATGACATTTAATTATATTCCATATACCCTCATTAGGCTAAGTAGGAAAAGGTGTCCTACGAATAGTAAATGGGTAACCTAAATATACTCTTAGTTGTGGCCCGTGGGTAAACAAATACTTTATTAAGCCATATATACTTAGGTTGAATGTAGCCAGCACTTATTTCAGAATCTCGTCTGCGGTCGTCATCTAAATCATCACGAAGATATTTGGGCTCTTTTTGGTACGCTACAGATCCACCGCTTTCTGTAGATCTCCTTCTTCCTCGAATTAATCTAAGATAAACATATATAATAAATCTTTAAAAGCATTCTCTATCCTTTTGTCAGATATACAAACTAAACCTTAATATAACCTCTTCTGTATTTTAACTGTTTTAAGATAAACTTTACAGCTTATTATTTTTTCTCTTTTTAAACAGAAATTGTACTTTCGATTTCGTCACAATGAGGTTTTATAGACATAAAATCAAAATAATTTTGGTCGTATGAACACCAAAGTAAAAACGGGAGCCCATATGAAACCAATCTAATTTACGCAATGTAACTACTTCTGTTTTTATGAAATTTATGAAATGCAGCTTTAATTTTTTAATATCTTGCATAATTTATGTAAAAAATGTACCATTCATGTAAAGCATTTGTTAATTCCGCGTATTTATTTAGTGTATTGAATATAATGTCAATCAAAATGGTTGCCAGTAATCGGACTAGTAATCTTAGGATCGCTGATCGCGTGGGTTCAAACCCCATCAGGGGCAAGCCGTTGTGCCCTTGAGCAAGAAACTTTACATGCATTTCTTAGTACTGGTTGATTCCAGGAACGGATTCGAGAGTGTTTCAATAACCTTATAGCTTCCAACATAATCAACTAAAACAAATTTGTATAAACTAAAATGGCTGCCACTTATATCAAGGGAGCTAACTATTGAATAAATGGAGACTATCCATTACCTGTGAATTAGAACAGCTACAACAACACACAAAACAAACACGAGAACTGCACAAATTATAACCACTAAAAGAACGTCAGTCTTCTTCCAAGTGTCTTCTTCTTCTTTCTGCGCTCCTTGAGCAGTCTTTTCTAATAAAGCGAAAATATAAAAGACATCAAAATAAACAATATTGCCATGTTTTGTAAAAACATTTATCAATCAAAATGAAATAACAGTTCTTCAAAATGTTAGGCGCTCCACTGCAGTTTAAAAGGCTAAATAACATAAAATTTAAATTTCTTAAAAAGCTTAACTGTGTCACTGAAAGATAATGAAGACAAAATTACTCAAAATTGAATTCAATGTCGATTTTTGTGAGATTCTTTAGCCAAATTTCAGTTAAGAGCGTTTAGACGTTTTTCGATATAGACCATTTTGCACATACATTGTATTAGAAAAAACGGAATAATGCAAAGAACTGTTCATGACAAAGTGAAATAAGTAATTGCTATCAAAACTTGTTGATATTTTTTAAATACGAATAAAAAACATTTCACTTCCATTTATATATATTGAAATTGAGTCAGTACTTATCCCCAACCTTAAAGAGGTGCATCTTACTTTCGCAAAATTCAGTAGTATTCTTATGCCAAGATCCACTTCGGGTGCAGAATGTCTTTTCTTCTGTCTTCTGGAAACCATTGTTACATTTAAAATCGCAAGTGTTACCGACTTCGGCCTCACAATCTGTGTCTAGTTTACCGTTCTCTATAGTCGGAGGACATCGGATTTCTATGAAACAAAATAAACAATCACAAGAGGTGTCATACGATTTTGAAATGTTTTATTGTATTGGTATATTATTAAAAAGTTGGCCATATGCACAATAAAGAATTTGAAAATTCATTTCTTAAAGATTCGTGCCATCTTGAGTTAAAGTTAATTTTGCTTTGCTATTTGTTACATGTATATACTTATCATTTATATACTATTTTACATGTATGTTCTGCAAGATAATATTTTTTAACTGGAATTATAGGAAAAAACATAAAATCTGACAAAATAATTGTTTGCAATTTTCTATGTTTCATTACAGTTGATAAAGAAAAAATCATTAGTTTTCTCTTCTTATATTAATCATGATAACTTACAAATGACGTATTGTCCTCGTTGAGGGTCTCATGGATTATTGTAAATAAAGTCTTATTATTATTATTATTATTATTATTATTATTATTATTATTATTATTATTATTATTATTATTATTACGTCACAAACCACGATATTACTCTGATACAACTTTTGTTTTCATGATGTTTATTTTACCTTCACAAAGAGTGTCATTTTCTCTGTCCCATCCGCTTGCGGTACACGTCAATGTCGAACTGTCTTTTATAGTAGGCATATAGTATTTGGGACAGGTATATTCGCATGTAGTTTCGTTCAGCCTCGAACATGTTGTCGGAAGTTTTATCTCAATAACACCAGCTGTGATATTTACAACTTGCGTAATCACATCGGTGCACTGGTAAACTAAAACGAGACAAAAGCCAAGATTAAACGTGCTCAGATTACCATTGTAACAATGGTAGCAATCGAGTTTGAGATATAACCGTAAAATAAAATAAAAGTATATACGCTTCTTGGAAAGAAATAAAAATGATTAATTTGCTGCATGAGAAAGAAAGAAAAGTTCTTGTCTTTGGACAAAGTACTTACTATCTGAGCAGGTTTTTCCGTCGGTTTTCAAATCAATACCATCATTACAGGCACATGCTCGGCCCGCTGAGGTAGGTAGACAGATAGTACTACAGTCACCAAGACCTCCATTTCCTGCACACCCGCCTCCTACTGAAATATTCAGTATTTATATACTAAAATGCAGCGGTTTCTTAATGAAAAAGTATATCCATAATGCATCTTAATGTTGTTTGTACGTATATTTGTTTAAAATTAGTAAAATGGAAAATTTAAGTCAAAAGACTAAGGAGCGTGGACGGTAGTCTACACTTTCCAGTACCGTTCATAAACAGGCTCAATCAAACCGAGTCTGCAACATTTTCAATTTTACCGTTTTTGGCGTTCTTTTGGGGTTCTTTTTTTCTATTTTAAATATTTAACTAAATCAACGCTGAAATATTTTCTGTTACTTTTCTCGGCATGGTCTTTAACATTTTGTTATCTTTACCATTAACATTTATTTTAATAAATATACCAAATGAATACACAGTATACGATGAAATACAATATACATCATACAAAAAACACTTATATCAAAAAGGTCATTGTGGTGCAGTAAAAGTTCTTATTTGTTCGGACTGGGAGTAACAATTGAAATAAGGTTTTTCATCTCCTATTTAGGAGAATCAAAGTCCTAATAAGGCTATTATAGTTTGTAATTAAAAGTGAATAAATCCATATTAGGCTTTTAAAACTCCTCAAAACAGAAGTAACAAAGTCCTAATTTGGGTTTTAAAACTACTTATTACGACTTAAACAGTTTTTTAATAACAATAAAATTTAGTATTTTATTTGAGATGTTCGCCATGCCACCACATACATGCATCCAGGACATGTTGTAAGGAAAGTGACCGTGCGACCACATACACGCATCACAGGATCCCCCTTATCTTACGAGAAAGGGACAAAGAGTTGGCCGCCCTTTTAGTCAAGGGCATACATTAAAATATGCCATTTCCTTATTATTAATAAAGAGGCTAATTTTCGCTGCAAGCCTTATCTTAACGTGCTGAATTTGTAAAATGCACATTTCCAGATTTAATGTTGTAGAATTGTTAGTCAGCCATAAGTACGGAGCCGGTCCAGAATGCACAGATGTACAGATTGGCATACATGTATCTCTATATTGGTCAAATTATTTCGGTTCCAGTAGTGTAAAGATGCAGTGCTCTTAATATTGCTCATATTACATGTAACACAAATTTCATCAACTTAAGATATAAGGAATAACCATACGTCTATGAATTCAACAGTCATTGGAATAACTGATATACATAGGAAAATGTAGTCGTAGTGAATCTTGTTTAAATTTGTCCTGTAACTGCGTGCCGATTAATAAGCTTTTTTGTCGATTAACATTTTTTCTGTAATCAGACAAATTTTACAAATGATAGTTTAAAGCCTCAATTTTTAGTAACGGTACAATACGAATGAAAAGAATTAATAAAAGAGTGAGCTTGATTTTCAGTCATTATGTACATTTGCATGTGCATTGGCATAATACCAGTTGTTTTATTTCGACATTGAGACATTTAACAGCAAGAGAAAAGAGTGCAAAATTTAACGTCATCATTGTGACATTTCAGGCCTTTTCCCCCCTATCCCAGGGGTCCGAATATGGGCCCCATTCCCCATCCAAATTAAGTTTTTTTCCCCAATCCCTAAAAAATATTCCAAATCTAGAAAGATTTTTTGTACCGCATTTTCAATTTTGGTGTCGCGAAATAGCGTTACGGAAGTTCCGGAAATTTCCTAAGCTAGTGATAGACATACTGAGTTAAAGTTGTATACTATTACTGAATATATTCATGTTTTGTGAATAAAAACAGGATTTTCAAAATTGATATCAGTTTTACATTTGTACACATTTTATAGTGTCCTTGTATTTTTGATACGACAGAGAAAGCTGATTTTATTTAAACAGTTGTAACACATTGAATGCCAGCATATTTTTCCAAATTGGCAAATTTCACAGATAACCTTTTTCCCCAATTTGAAAATTTTGCAACACATATTTCCCAAATTTGCCATGTGGCGTTTTCCAAAAGAAAAGAGGGAAAAAGGCCTGCATTTAGTAGCAAACTATTTTTAGACATTTAGCGGCGGTTGCGACATTAAGCGGCGATAGTGCGGCATTTAGCGACATGTGCGACAATAAGTCGTTGCGACATATATCGACCACACAGACATTTCAGGTCCTTTACGCGTTCAAATGCCGGTCACATTTTTCAACTTTGCATAACCAAAAACAAAGCAATAAATATGTTATTGAATCTACCTTTTTGTTTATTCTGGTTGTTACTTTTATACAAACTGAGGGTATCTACTTTTCCAAGACCTATATTGTAACCAACTTCCGTTTTAGTATAAGGTGCAGTTAGACTAACCTGTACCACGTGCCTAAAATATAAAAACAAACACACAATAAACCTGAGTGATGCCAACAAAGTCATGAATCGTAATCATATATTTTTTGTTTATTCTAAACAAAAAATAGAATATGTTTCGGGTTTAAGGCATGATAGGTATTGTCTTTATATGAATATGCAATCTCATAAAATCAAAGTAAAGACAAAAATATACATGATACGGCAACACATTACACCAATGCGACGTGTGCTGCATTGTCCGCTACTCAGTCAGTACTATTTTGAAATTTTAGTTTATACAAATTAATTTTTAGTGATTGTGTTGGAAGCCTTAACACTCTTGAATCCGTTCCTGGAAGAATGCAAAGTGTCTTGCTCAAGGAAACAACGGCTTGCCAATCCTTAGATTACTAGTCCGACGCGTTAACCAGTCAACCATGCCGCCACATGCTTTTTTTTATTTTTTACAAAACGATAAGCATGGGTTTGTCAAAATTGAAAGACGGACAAGTCCATTTTTTTGTATTTAATGTGATAATGGTTAATGATACTCCTTTTAAGCACGGCAGTAAAATCAGTAGTTATTCCTTTTATCTGTTATCAAAAATTGTTCTATAACTAAAGCTTCTATCAATACATATTTTAAAAGGCACATTAAGTCTCAGAAACGATGTTTTTTCTTCCATTGAAAATGACATACACGAGTTTTGTAACTTTTAAATAATGGTTTTAGAGCATGTTTCGATGCTCATCACCTGACGAAAGTATTGCTGAATGTGAAAATAATAGTAATTCAAGCAGCAAAATGTAAAGAAAGTAGTATATTGACTATACAAAATACCAAACTATTGTTACTGTACTTATTACTAAAAGTATCAGAAGCAAAAGATGGTTCAGGTAATTCGTCGATGAGTAACTTTTTTTAAACCTTAAATAGAAAGTATTTGATAAATAAAAAATTCAACCTTTACTGGGGCATAATGCGCCTTTTATTTCGTTAAAAGAAAGTATGAAAAAGTGAATTCGTACGATTTTTTGTTTGCTGCATAATACAAGTATTTATCATCCAGTACAATGTCGTTAATTTCATCTCCAATCTTACTATTGTTAACAATTGTTTCACATTCTTCGCCATCTAGATTACATCGCTGAACTGTATCAAGACTGGAGTCACACCAGTACATGTAGTCATCTGGAAGTTTGTGACAAAATTTGGAATTATTTCAAAAATATGCAAGCAGTATGATTAATATCCCATTATGCTATATATCAATTGCTTTTTGGGTTTTTTTGGGGTTTTTTTTCTTTGCTTCCACTACAATAGTGGGTGTCTCAGATATGTGTGTAGTTTTTCCCAACACAAGACTGTTTTCCACAGTACCAAAGTTGTCAACATTGTACGACCACTTAAGGTTTTGAATGCATCATTATACATCAATGTGTATGCTGCGTTTTATCGTGACACATCTGCAGGGTATAAATATATTAGGTGTTTTAAAAATACATCAGTATCATTTAATTTAAAATGCTTTGTGAAACAAAGAAACTTGTCGAACTTTGACTTGTTTGTTTTGTTTGTTTTTTTTTTTGGTTTTTTTTTTAAATATTTTTTAATAAGCGTCTGTACCGATTATTGCATAATTTCAACTTTTGAAATCTTTATCATGATTAGATTATTGTTTATATTTATGTCAGACTAGTTATCACTTCCGGCGTTAGCATCTTGCGTGTATATACTACTGGCAAATTTGTTCAATATTGTCTTCATTTTAATACAATTAAGTAACAGAATAACAATGTAAAAAATCTTTTTGAATACTTGAAGAAAAAAACCGGTTGAACCGGGTGATGCTCCCCGAATAGGTTTTGAACACAGAAAAGTATACCTGTTGTAGTTTCAGAGTTATGTCCCGGACAAAGTTCAAAGTGCAATAATTCCAAACTTAGGCAAGACAGAGTTACTGTTCTTTGAACTGCTCATCTACCCAATAATATCTATCTACCTACAAAGATTCTGTTCATAACTCTTATAGTGTCAAAATGTAAATTTTTAACAAAGGGCAATAACTCCAAAATAAGGCAAGGCCGAGTTACAGTTCTTGTGCACTGCACATATACCCAATGAGTGTCTTGTTCATATCTATTTTACTTTCAGAACTATGTCCTGGACAGTTCTCAAAGTGTAAAAATGAACAAAGGGCAATAACTCCAAAATTAGGCAAGGCAGAGTTAAGGGTCTATCTACCGACAAAGTTTCATGTTGATACCTTATGTTATTACAGAGTTATGTCCCGAACAAGAAAAGCGGACGGACGGACGGACGTACGTTCTTACCAGAGCTACATTATGGGGTTTTCTTTTGTTATTTTTTTTGTTCTTTTTAACCCCACAATGCAGAAAATAACCCCACAAGAGAAACGGAATGAATGACATCAAAGACATCTATTGTTCTGAGAACAATAGACCAAACCCCATAATGTAGCTCTGGTTTGTACGGACAACCGGACGGACGGACAAAGCGGCGACTACATGCTCACCCTAGGGAAGCATAAGAAGATTAACCACGGTTTGTCAAGTACATTAATTTATTAAAACTGACTTACTCTGGTAGTCAATAGCAAGTCCAGCAGGATATAGCACGTGTTCGCCTATTATTATTTTCTCTACATTACTACCGTCCATATTAGCCCTTGCAATATACGAATCAGAATCGATGGCCGAAAAATACAACCATCTGTAAAGGAAAGTATACAGAAAATCATAAATACGTTTTCTTATATTTTAATATGCTAAATATATTTTAAAGATAAGATAGCGTGGTTTTTTTATCCTCCGAGCTACTATCTAAATATATTATATAATACATTCCGATAATTTCAGGTTCTATTTGTCGTTTTACTGATGTTGTTTTTGTTTTCTTATTTTTTGTGTGTGCATATATGACAAAATGTTCTATTCCCTATATGCAGTCGATCTCGTACTGAAGGTCCCATTTAGTGCAGTCCATGCGATCATCTCTGAAAATCTACTCATGTGTCGTCCATAAAGAACAATCGTATCGACCATTTCTACCCTATATTGCACTGTCCATTTCTGACAACAATTCCATATCGTGCCGTCCATTCTTTTATGCTTGTGTTTGTGTTAAAAAGAAATGTTCAATGTGTTGCTGTCTATGCTTGAAAATCTGTTCAATATCCTATGTTCATGTCTAACATGACGTGTTCCATGTTTCATAAATAAACTTTAAATTATATTTACCCGAATGATTATTTTAAGAAACATAAAAAATGCAAATAATTTACCCCTTTTGTGGATGGACAGCTATGGCTTGGAGGTCCTCCCAGAAGAAATCGTCAATCAACCAAATATTCTCCCCAGATGGTGTTATTACACCAATATGTGCTGAACTAAAGGCCGTGTAATACAGGTTACCAGTAACAGTATCCATAGCAAAACGATAGGCATAAGAAAATCCTGTAATTTAATGATAATCATCTTAATTCTTTAATTTAAAAAAAACGTTCGTCTGTTAATTTGGGGCTTTCCTCTGTTAATTTGTTTCCCCTCCCCCTTTTTGCATTTACGTATATACAAAAAAATAACAACAAAAAAAAAACAACATATTATTCTATTATTAATCTGATTTCCTCTTCAAACATAGATTTTTAATCATCTTTTGTTTTTTGATCATAAAGATTTAAATAGAGAAAAACAGAATCCCTAAAGAACGTCCAACGCGGCAAATCGGTTTCCCCTATTCCTAATAACATATGTTTTTATCCTTTTCGCAACTAACTAATGATATAGCTAATACAATATTTAATTAACATATGAGCCGTGCCATGACAAAACCAACGTAATGCATTTGCGACCATCATGGATCCAGACCAGCCTGCGCATCCGCGCAGTCTGATCAGGATCCATGCTGTTCGCTTTCAAACCCTATAACAAGTAGAGAAACTGATAGCGAACAGCATGGATCCTGATCAGACTGCGCGGATGCGCAGGCTGGTCTGGATCCATGATGGTCGCAAACGCACTATGTTGGTTTTGTCGTGACGCGGCTCAATTATGTACCTATATCTGACACAACTTTTCTGTCAGTTCCGTCTACATTCATTGAATACACTTGGCCGTCAAAGAATTCGGACCAAATCAGCTTTTTGTGCTCGGCATCATACAGAACACCCATCAAATATCCGGAGTCGCCTAAAGGTATAGCGTTGATTTCGTTTGTCACGAGGTCGATTTGAAATATAAGGTCCACTGTCCAATCGGCTACTAGAAGAAAGTTATCTCTGACCACCTCTGAAATAAAAAGGGATAGCAAATCGTTGGGCTCAATTATGGGATACGTACTCTCAGTGCCAGAAAGGGCGGATGGACTCTCATTAGGCATAGCAACCTTACATCTGGCTCAATTAATCTGCCATGTTTGCTGACTTAATGATTTTATATTTCAATACAATAGGATCCCTATTTAGGAAAAACCCGAAATTTAGACGACCCCGTCAATGGATACATGATCCAGAATCAAGACGACTTCGCTTATCCACTTTTAAGACCACCAGATTCAGTCCCATTTCTTGTTTTGTTCTTTATTTGACCCCACCTCACTGATTTAAATTCAACACCTACCCAGATCTTAAATTTGTTGTAATGTTACTATCTACTATAACACTTTCAGGGATGACACTTAATTTCACACAAGGTGTCATTGAACACCTTATATCATTGGAATATTGTATGAAATAAGGTGACAAAGTAAATTTTAGAGTTGTTAAGCACATTGAGTATGCGAAGAATTAATGTTTTATTCGATGCCTGAAGTATTTACATCATATAATAATTAATATTGAAATCAGACCAAATAGAATTTGATAATAAATTTCTTTCTTTCCATTAGATGTTAAATTATTATTATAACATACTTTTATATTTTATTTGTAGGTTAAGATACATATTGTTTGTTCATATAAAATGACTAAAATAGATCATGGTCAAAAACTGTGTAAGCAATGATAGGAATATTCACAATCAAGACCACCCCGCAATTAAGAACACTTTGGTCAAGTCCCGATGGTGATTTTAATTGAGGGGTTTTCCTTCGTCTTTATTTAAAAGTTGACTAAATTTATTATGCTTTAATTCGTTCGTTTAACACATCCTTCTGGTCATCACTCCAGACACGGGTAGTTTATTTTGAAATTGCATCAGTAATTGCAGCCAGGGAAGAGAACTAGATCATTACGTTTTCCCTAAGTCTATATAAAGGATACTCGCCCCTGGGAAAAAATAATAAGCGGGTGATATTCATTTCGAAATAACACCATGTGAAATATGATTCTTAAAACATTGCAGGACCACTGTAAGCATACACGAATTTTCTTTATAATTTAAAATGGTGTAAATAGGTATGTACAAACCTGTTTTGCAACTTTTCTGGTCAGTTTCTAGTTTATACCCAAGTTGGCATTCACAAACTTTTGTCATTGCGTCGTTTTCGTATTTAGTAATACATACTTGTGAACACCCGCCATTTTGACGCAAACAGGGACCTGTTGAAATAGTAAATAATAAACTGAATCCATAAAGATCAGCAATAGAAGACATCATCAGACCTCTCTTTTAAAGCCTAAAATCATTAGATTTGGTGTCCCTGAAACGGCGGATGGACTCTCATTGAGCATAGACTACCTACGAACCAGTCTACAAAAACTGTTATGCGCATGTCCGCTTCAAAATACGACTTGATTTAAACGAAAAAAAAACAAACGATCTGTAAAAGGAAAAATCGGAAATATATTAAACACTACAAACACTGGGTTCATTCCATTTTTAATCCTTTTATTAAACCGTATAAATTAATAATTATTTTCTGCATAATGTTCAACAACAAACACCATAGCTACAATATCACCAAACAATATTACCGAGTTAACCATATACCGAATTATTTGCTGCTCCTTCAACTTAAGAACTCATCGCCGATTATTACTAATTACAGCTTATCTGGAGACAGCCGGAAATAGCCGATGCATTGATATTGTTTGCAGATGCAATTCGACCAATCAGAAATTCTTACTTTCCCGCCATTTAAAAATAATAAACAAATCTTCCACAGCTGCAAAACGACCTCTCACATGCTTCTTTTTACAGAAGTAAACTTGTATTCTTTAATTTTCAGTATAAAACAATAAAAAATAGCATTACATCATAATATTACACTTTTTAAAACTATATTCACAAATCTTATATGTAACTCGACTTTCAAAAAGCGTCAAGTATGCATTTTTGGAAGACATAAATGCGTTTTTTGGGGTTTTTTTATTAAGTGTGTTTAAGTTATTAAGGTTTTTAAGTGTTTTAAGTTGGTATTTTCCTAAACCATTTCAAGTAGTTTTTAATAGTACTAAATACAACAACTACAATTGATAACGTATGGGCGACTTGTTACAACCGCCATACAACTCATAACGCCCACCACTTTTAACCCTTTATTTTGACTTACGATCACTATCTAGCTTTGTCAATTTCATTTGCAACGACAAATGTACTTAAAATAGATCGTAATCACTACAACAGGTCATTAACGCTGATAAAACTAGAAATGTGTCCATAGGACACGGATGCCCCCACACACCACTGTTCTGTCAATCTTAAGACTCTAAGTCAAATATTTTTTGGACTACATGTGCCACAAGTTGAAATCTAAAAATCAACAAAGGGCCATAATTCTGTTAAATTTGGTTGCAGCAAAAATTCCTTCCTTTACTACCATCTACACATTAAGGTTGTTAATCCCTGGAAGTTTAAGCAAAATCTGCCATCCGGTTTAAGAGGAGTTGCGTTCACAAAATTTCTACATAGTATATAATGAAAAAATCAACAAAGGGCCATAATTCTGTTAAATTTGGTTGCAGCAAAAATTCCTTCCTTTACTGCCATCTACACATTAAGGTTGTTCATCCCTGTAAGTTTAAGCAAAATCTGCCATCCGGTTTAAGAGGAGTTGCGTTCACAAAATTTCCACATAGTATATAGTCAAAAAATCAACAAAGGGCCATAATTCTGTTAAATTTGGTCGCAGCAAAAATTCCTTCCTTTACTACCATCTACACATTAAGGTTGTTTATCCCTGTAAGTTTAAGCAAAATCTGCCATCCGGTTTAAGAGGAGTTGCGTTCACAAAATTTCTACATAGTATCTAGTGAAAAAATCAACAAAGGGCCATAATTCTGTTAAATTTGGTCGCAGGGAAAATTCCTTCCTTTACTACCATCTACACATTAAGGTTGATCATCCCTGTAAGTTTAAGCAAAATCTGCTATCCGGTTTAAGAGGAGTTGCGTTCACAAGATTTCGGGACGTACGGACGGACGGACGGACGGACTGACTGACTGACGGATTGACGGACGGACGGTCAAGTGCAACGCTATATGCTCCCACATTGTGGGGGCATAAAAATAAGCAATATACCAGCGCCCTCAGAAACATTATCAATAGAATTGCAACATTTTAAATCTTGGACCTGATACATGACTGTTATTTTTATAATTGTTGTTATTGCTGTTGTTTGGTTACAGCTCTACCACTTACTTGTTCGTTCAGGCGTTTGCAATTTCTCGTCAAGCACTTTTATGTCTATGATCGTGGTTTCTGTATCAAAAAAGCCATGTCCAATAATTTGTCTTTCCTCATAGTTGTACGATCCAACAGCATTTGGATACCCTGGGTCAGTGTACACCCATGATATATATTTCTAAACACAAAAGGTATACGTCGTATTTGAATTGTCAGGAAGTGTATTACTGTATAAGCGGATTTTTCCGAGTGTCGAAAAGTAGCGAATTAAACATTTCAGAAATACCGCGCGAATCGTGCAATGACAGGTTGCTTGATATTTACGCTTGAGGAAATTTTAGCGATTTTCATCAATTCGTGAAATTCGCTAATATAGCCTCTCTGTGCGAGATTATTTATCACGAAGAAATTTCGCCTCGTCTAAGTATCGAACAAGAGACCCCTGTCCCTCTGAGAAAAAAACCTGTATAAAAAAAAACATCGCCTAGCAGCAACACTTTTTACATTGGGCTAAGCACAATTCGATCATATAACAAAAATTACCCCATAAAACAAACATAATTTTATTCATTTGACAAACGCTCCTTTTAAATATTAAATATCATTTATACAATTTTCATTTAACAAACAAATTAATAAATATACAAGCATATAATAAGTATTATAACATATTAATATTAAGCACTTACATTATAATGAAGAATTAGATTTGCACTGTCTTCTAGACTAACAAAGTATCTTTCAAGAGTTTCTGACCCGTTGAAAGGGACGCTATACACTGACCCTCTGCTTGGTGCCAAAAAGTAGAAACTGCAAAAGTAGAAGGTCAACGTAGGTCAAGATATAAATAATTGACTTAATAATAGGCTGAAAGTGGATTGTTCTACAATGGGCACATTTGCCAGAAATGTTTTAAAGATCATGTAACACAATACTTTATGGTTTTAAATCATAAATATGATGCTCAATTTAAGATTTATCAATATTGTAGATTCCAAAAAGCATTATTTATAAAGATATTACCGAATTTAACATTTCACGTAAATAAAGGGAGGTATGAAACATTATTTTTCTAAAAAGTTTAATTTAAATTTTACAATTAATTTTACCACTTAAATCACAAATACAGGATCTTTAAATATTGGTTAACACAATACAAATAAATCATTTGGATACTCTTGTAAAATATGACTTGATAAGAAATGTTGGCACAGTTTTAAGTGACATAGTATGACCATATGTATGATAAATAATAATAATTTGTTCTAGAACCATTCATGACAAAACCAACGTAATGCGTTTGCGACCAGCATGGATCAAGACCAGCCTGCGCATCAGCGCGGTCTGACCAGGATTCATGTTGTTCGCTTACAAACGCTATTACATGTAGAAAAACTGATAGCGAACAGCATGGATCCTGATCAGACTGCGCGGATGCGCAGGCTGGTCTGGATCCATGCTGGTCGCAAACCCACTATGTTGGTTTTGTCGTGACGCGGCTCATTTATTATCTGCTTTACGTATAATTATATGTAACATCGGATCATTATCTTATTCTTGCCAACAACGTATATGTATAATTCGTCCATGGTTTGTTGCTATGTTTAATACTAAATACTATTTACACAATTATATATTCTGGCTAAAATATTGTATTATAGAACTTTCGTTATAGATCAATGCACTTCATACTGACATACCCCTTTAATCAAAATTTAATATCATTAAAGATTCGCGACAGAACTTTATCAAAGTGTTCCAGCAAAACAAGAAAACCTCAGACATATCATTGACTTTATGTCTTTATCATTGGCTGCTATTTATAGTATCAAAAGCATACGTGTAAAAATTTAAAACTAAAATAATTATAATGCTGACCACATGGTCAATCAGTGCTTTCCTATCGTAATTGTATTTTCCTTGTGTCCGTTGCCAATTGTGTAGCCTTGTCGGACCGTATTTGGTACAAAAACGAATATGGTACAAATTTGTACCATATTCGGCCGAATATGGTACAACTGTCTAATTGTACCATATACGTATCTGCAGTTTTGGGGTAAAATGCCTGACCAAATATGGTACAAACTTGTACCATATTCGGATGAAAAATGTACCACATTCGTTCCGAATAAGGTACACACTCATCATCGTCATCATCATCATCATCGTTATCTCATCATCATCACCATCATCATCATTATCATCATCATCATCATCATCATCATCATCATCATCATCATCATCATCATCACCATCATCATCATCATCATCATCATCATCATCATAACTACAATTTGCATCAACGTCATCAATACCATCATGAAAATAATCATCATCGTCATCTCATCATCATCATCATCATCATCATCATCATCATCATCATCACCATCATCATCGTCATCGTCATCATCATCATCATCATCATCATCATCATCATCATCATCATCATCATAACTACAATTTGCATCAACGTCATCAATACCATCATGAAAATAATCATCATCGTCATCATCATCATCATCATCATCAGCATCATCATCATCATCATAATCATCATCATCGGCGGCCGGTAATCATTGGCGTCAACATAATAAAAAACTTTTTTCATCATCATCATTATAATCATTATCATCGGCCGATAAACATCGCAGTTATCATCATCACAATCATCAAACCCCAATCATCATCACCATTGTCATCATCATCAATTACATCATCATCGTCACCATTAACACCATCATCATCATCGTCACCATTAACGCCATTATCATCATCATCGTCATGATGATGACAAAAGTTTTGATGATGATGACGACGATCAAAATTACCGTCATCACAAACTTTTATCATCATTGTCATCATCATCACCATCATTATCACCACAATCATCAAGGTCATAATCATCATCAACACCATCATCATCATCACCATTATCATCATCGTAATGAAGATCACAAGGATTTGCTCGCCTACCTTTACCCTTACAAGTTCACACTCTATGAACATAACCAAAATGCGATAATCCTCAAACTTTTACAGAGTTACCTGGAGCAAGCACGTCTCTAGTCTTAGAGTACTAGTACTTAGTAACCAGTACTAAGCAGATACATTCGCCAGTAATTGACAACTGCCCTACTTGAAACAGCGGTAGGGGAAGAATGGCCGTAGAAATCATTTCGTGACCAATCTCCACGAAAGTATCTGGCCCGCCCGGGAATCGAACCCAGGCCGCCTGCGTGCCAATCTGACGCGCAACCGACTGAGCTAGCCGGCGAAACAGTTACACAACCAGCAAAATCCATGTAAAGTGTGGTTAGGTTAGCTGTTTCTGTTACTGCTAGTTACGACGACGACGATGACGACGACGACGATGATGATGATGATGATGATGATACTTTTGTCACTTCCAATATTAGGTTAATACAATGTATTTGAGTTTGAAAAAAAGTTTACACATCGGCAGACTATTTCATTTATTAAGAAATACATAATTTATGTACCATATACGTAGGCCATTTTCATTTTATGAGTTTTTTTGGTATGTACCAAATACGTTTTGGCGAGCATAGAAAAACTTATTCCAACCGAATATGGTACAATGTTTGTACCATATTTGGTCGAAAATTGTACCATATTCGGTCCGAATATGGTACATTTGTACCATATTCGACCGAATATGGTACATTTGTACCATATTCGTTTTTGTACCAAATACGGTCCAACATAGCCTTCTTCAAAATTCATGGTTCTCACAAATGCTGTGATCTTTTTTAATCAGGTAAAAAGCCAAACATATATAACTGTAGACCAGACTTTAACCAAATAATATACCTGTCTTCTAACTATTTGATTAACTTATTCATTAAATTTGTCTTAAACAACTTTTAATGTTCAAGTAATAATTGTTGTAATTATTTAAGAAACATTAAGCAAAGTTTTCAGTCTAGAATAAATATACATGTACATGGTATCCATCATTGCTGGCACTTATAAGCCCGTTTGGATTAATATCGAATCATGGACATTGTCGTAAAACACTGTAGCATTACCTTGGTGTAAAACAAAGAACAAGGGCAGCTTAGGTTAACACTTTTTACAAGAAAAGTCCATTAATATTTTACACAAATCAAACATTGAAATAGAACTTTACAAATGTATGTTTGTGCCTTGCGGAATTCACATAATCCAATTTAGAAATGTCTGATAAATCAACTATACCGTAACTACATAGTGTAAGTTTAAACAACATTAACTTTCTCTATGCTTAATTCTTTAACTGGGAACCCCTTCAACATGATTTTTATATCAAATCGCCGTACAGGATCAGTTGATGAAATACAGCGTACATTGCCATATATCATTCCCCTTAGCAACGTCCACTTAGCAAGCATTCAGATGTCAAAATATGATAAACAGGATCAACAAGGAAAGGCGGCGTTCAAAGAACGCAGCCCCCATACGACCCAGCAACACGAACCAGTGGCAAGGAGCCCAGACGGACCCCAAACAAAAACAGGACAGGGCACAAGACAGAGCTCGGACAGTAAAATATTGAAAGGACCAGTGTAATATAAATAAACTTACACTTGGTGTTCTTGGTCAATTGTAAGTGCGCCTATGTCAATAAAATCGCTGACTACATCAAACAGCTCTGTGCCATCCATATTCATTGTTTGAATCGACATTGCACCATCCTCTCCTGATACCCATGCCAACTTTCTGGTGGTTAGAATATCGCAGAAACAATGACAACATATATAAATGTCGAAATAAGTAAATTCTATGTGTCCAGCTTTATTTGTTATCTAATGAAAACGCTGTATTCCTTAAAAATTATGTGTGTTAATTTTCATAGAAGAACAAAAGTCAATACTAAATATCAAAGTCCGTTCAAGGTCGTGTTCTATTTGTCATAGTGCTTTGAACAAAGAACCGCGTTCGTTAAAATAGTTGTGGCGTAATAAAGTGAATATAAATCAAGACAAATAAAGCTTGACACTAAGTATGTTAGTATTCATCCATAGCTGTTCTACAAAAAATTAGAAACATGGCTCCCCTCGAAGTTTCTAATTTCTGTAGAACAGCACGGATGAACACTAACATATACATGGATATGCTTTTCTTAGGTCAAAAGGGAGAGAATTGGATTCATCAACAAAGTGATGCTCATTCGACTCTCGGGCGAGACGCAAATCTGCCCTGAAAAATCTGTACCGGACAATGGGTCTAAGGGTCTTTTGTCGATCACACCAGATTCAAAAATAATATGTAGGATTAGAAGCCGGTTTGTTGTGGAACAAACGGTAGTTGCTGGTTAGTTTTCCAGAAAATTCAGTAGGTGGACCACCCACCGAGACATGACCAAAATATTTTTGAAGTCGGCATAAAGAAACAAAAAATAATAACAAGGGAAACCAGGGGGGAAAACTATTTCCAATAATGGTATCAATTGGTCAATAAACAATGAATGCCATATTTTAATTTTCTATTTATTCCCGTCCCTGTTTTTATCTTTAAGTAGCAAGATATGAAAATTGTCATCGTTAACAGTACTCAAAATGACACGGTAATTTTAAGATGCATATATAACAGTGGTGTACCTTTGGGCTTGCAGTACTAGAATGTTCCTCGGTTTAACCAGGGTAACACCGTCTGCGTTTACTTTGGTAACTATTTTATCGTTCACGTTGATCATAAAGATATTTCCAGTATCACTTTCACACCAGTATAAATTACCAGCATCCACTGCATCGTATGCAATACCTGGACAAAAAGAAAGAAAAGTGGTACAATATGTAATAATGGTAAAGTTTCATTAAGGTCAGTTAATTGGATACTAAATTTTAAAACGGTTGTGTTGCATTTTAGATAAACCAACAATTTTCATTGCAATGATTGTTTTAAAAATGATCACGTCAGCAGATGCCATTTGCGATCATTAAGCAATGATATTTTTCAACATGAAAATAAATCGTAATGTACAAATGTATGATAAATAATATGTTCCCATCCATAAAACATTACGTGCTTCCGCGGCAAAATGGTAAAGATCGTTGAGTTCAAACCACTTGCCCCTCACCGCAGCGGGTTTGTCTCCCGCCAGGGAAATTGGATTATTTTATGTGAGGAAGCCATAAAGCTAGCTTACGGAACGTCGGTGGTTTTTATTGAGTGTTTTTTTCCATCAGTAGTACTGGAAATCCGCCATATAACCTCCTCAACTATGTTGGTTGTACGTAAAACCTAACCATAAAACAGCAATGCTGCTACAAAAGAAATGATATTTACCACTAATTGTTCCGCCTGCTGACGTTATGAGTTCTTTCGCCTCGTTTTCGATCGGCAGACGCAGTTGTCTAGCATATATCTTGTTGTCCATATTAACATAATAGGCAATGGTTTGTTTCATATCTAAATTAAACAATTTGATCTTGTCCCCCGGTGAAGCTGCAAAAAAGTATTCTACCCTTAAAACTTGACATACTACCTTTATTTATTTTACATATTTCAATAAATCTTATAAATCCGGCAAAAGGTATAGTTGCCCCTATAAATTGTATGGTTATAAACATTTTTGACAGGTTTTATTTTAACAATACACACATGGTACAACAAGCTCAATCCTTAACATGTTGTCGGCAACTAATGGAACCAGTGCAGGCCAAGATCAACCAGTACATCCGTTATCATGGTCCGCGCTATTCAGCTGATACAAAGTTTGAAACATTCTATAAAACGACAAATTCAAAAGACCAAAGAGCCAGCGTGGTAAAGAATAATATGAAGATATAGTTTTGTTTTAGATAATATAATTGATATATTGGTGACTGAAAATTATTTTATAGAAAGAATCGAATTCAGATATATTGATATTTATTTAATATTTCAGAATATAAATACGACTTAAATACCTGTTGGCTCAAGTGTAGTATCTTGACGTTTCTTCCTCTTTTCCTGTTATTAAAAAACAGTCAGGTTTATAATTCTAACGAAAGGATTTGGTGTTACATTTTGTTATATTTATCTTTATCTTACATGTTATTAAATATAACCATTGGACTTTCAGCGTTTGCACCACGTGATGTTCTAATATGAATGCGTATTGGATCCAATCTAATGTATTTAGCTTCGCTTTCATTTTCCAGAGACAAAAGAATTAACATATCAAATGCCATCACATCCCAGCAATCTTTTTTTTCATTTTCAGAGTCAAAAACATCTATTACAAATGCATATCATACATTGTACTCCAACTAGCCTCGTTTTCTTCTTCAGAGTCTATAAAATCCATATCAAATTATCATTATACTTAAAAGAACAAAGGTCTGTAAAACAGTCAAAAATTATTATGTGAAATAAAGAGGTTATTATACGTATAATGTTGAAAACAATGATGATTCTTTTAGACTTGTACAAAGATGCAAAACCTATATCAGACTCGGCTTTTGCATCTTAAATATAAGTAGCTGTGAATCTTCCAAAAGAATTTAGTATTGTACTGAACAATGTGCATGTATAATAACCTTTCAATATCATGCATGAACAAAGTAAAAATATAATTTCTTGATATTTTCATGCAATAATGTATTTGCATAGAAAAATAAGTTGATAATTATTACTTTCTGTTTTTACATAAAATTCATACAAATGTAAGTACAATTATCTTTCATATAAGTAGACACACATATATTTTTATGGATCTAAAAGGTATGGATGCACTGTGCATCACGCGCAGATAACAAGCCAAAGCAAACGTAAAATTTTATTCAAATTGCAACTTATTGCCATAGAATTTTAATTATTAAACGTTACATTATTTTTTTTTATTTACTGAACTTACATTGCTGGCTTTCACGACGGTGAAGATGCATACTGGCTCGAAATAGAATGCAGCCAACGATCGAATGTCTATATAACAAATATGGGTTGCACTTGCGAACACTATTGCTTTATGTAGCCCTGCGTTCGTTTCTGAAGAATAAAAATATTATAAAATATTATAAATGTTTCGATTAATTAAGCTTCTTCGGTTGAAGAATTTAAAAAAACACATACAATGTTATTTTGTTGTTAACTGTGTATGTTCCAGTTTGACACATAATTATTTACATTGCAATTGCTTCCGTTGAAAACGGATGTTTACTTTTTGACTATTCAACCAAAAGGTATTTTATACGCGAAAAGCACACCAGGGTGCAAACAACTAAATTTTATGAGTGTCATAGTGACTCCAGAGGAGAAATTGATGTCCTATCGGGGTTTAATGTTGAAAATAAGAATGAATCGAGAAAAAATGGCGGCCATTTATTTCATTTTATTTAGGAAATAGACCAAGTGACCTGTTAAAAAATACTGTTACCTATGTAACAGTACAAAATTCTTAGTCACGTGGTACACTTGCATTAACAGTAAAAATAACTTCCAGAGGCCTATGAGAAATTAGCATTACGAAAAAAGTGAGGGGTAATAAGACAAAATGTAACAAAATGCACGTAACAATCTTATTAGAATCCTCGTATTTGTACCTGTTTTATTCCAGGAGAAATATTGTGTGTACAGTGTAATGATTAAAATATTGCCGACGAATATCATTTTTCTTGCATGCACAATTGGTAGAATAAAATAAAATAAAATAAAAAAAGTTTACTGTAATAGATTTTCTTCAAATAATGAAATGAAAATTTATTTGATTTTTTTTTTTTTAAAAGCTGTGCACGTTTTATAAATAATCATTATAATATAGATATTAGCTTTTTTCGAATATTTTGTCTTCACACTGAGTCTTAAATGTATATGCATGTCCTTATATACGTTGACATTTTCCCCATTCATATTTAAATTGGATATAATGCTCTATTATTGAAGTAGTAAGTATTAAAAATATAATTGATAAAAAAATGATTAATTTATAAAATGATTAATACATTTTCTGTTTTATTCTGTTTTGATAAAAAAAAGTCTAAATTGTAACAACATACAATGTACCTTCACATTTTCCAGTATTCTTGTTTAAAGTGTATCCGTCGGAACATATACATGCTGCACCGGTTTTAGTTGAAATGCACAAATGGTCACAATTTTGCTCGGCACAATAATCTAAAAACAATATCATGTGTATATCATTAACAGTTAACAGTATTTTCATTCTAAGAAATGATAAATCAATTATAAGAATCAATAAATCATTTCATACCTTTACCGATCAAAAATCTGCAAAAATACTAAAAAAGAAAGATCCATTATAAAAACTTGCTTTGTTAGTAATAGAAAAAAAAAAGAATCGAAACATGAGGCTATATGATTTGTACGAGGGGGGCGTAGCCCCCGAGTATAAATCAGATTGCCGAGTGTTTCGATGTTCTTTCTCTTTTGTATCATAGACAAACATAAAAACACGTGATACAGCAATATGAAACCTCACAAAAAAGTAACCAATGAACGAGCATCTGAATATGATATTTCCATCGCTATCACTTTCTCTGTCGTCACAATATGTAAACCCAGGACAAAATGAACCAATCAATGGACATGCTCTGGAGTGCGGGTCACTAATACCTGCACTCCAGTTAACGCACTGTGCACACTGTGTTAACTCTGTCACATTTTCAACAGTAAGGTCCACAAACTACGATACAAGTTTGATTAGAAAATGCATTTGTCGCTGAATATAACATTATTCCCTGCGGTCTGAAGACCGCAGGGTATTGGTACGCGTTTAACTTTTGAGGCATGGAGGAGCACGTGACCTGTTTTCGGTACATGGAGGAGCATGTGATCTGTAAACCGTATATGATTGGTTAATTGACCTTTTCGAAAACCCAGCTAAATACCGTTTGCCGGTACGTTACGGATTACCTGTAGGGAATTAGTCCGAATTACACCTAATTGAGAACAAAAATATATTACGTGATATTTCTAATTTTCTATAATTATTTTACCGTTTAAGGTGGAAAAACTTGAATGATGTCTTTGAAAATTATCAATGTTTCTTCAATATCTATCTCAAATTTTACAAACAATAAATTGTTTATACTGAAAATCTAATCTTATCTGCCATAATAAATATAGATATTTTCTGCGTAAACTTGTGTGTTTACTTTTTTTTGCTTGGAATTATTTATAAAATGGTAGGCCTATTTGATCATTTTCTTAAAAAGAAATAATTGTTTTATGTTCGATCTTCTCCGGTCATGAACGGTCACCAGTTTCCAAAGACCTTCTTCTATATTGATCGATTATTGTCAACTATATTCCTGATAAAAACGTTTATTTATTCCCCTCTCCCCAAAAAAAGTTGAAAATAGTTAAATGAAATATCTTTATATCATTAAAAATGTTCCCCGCAGGAAACCATTTTACTTGTTATTTATTTAATTGCAGAAGTGTCTCGTAAAGTGTCCAGTGCTCATACACGAGACCTCGATTTAAAGTCTCATCTGAAAGACTGTGTAAGTTATTTTAGTTGGTCAACCCGGGAACCGAACCCTCAATGTCATGTTACAAGTCTCATGCTCTTAACCAATTGAGCTTTGCGGGCTGGCTATGCTTTAGATTATTGTCACGTGCACATTCATAGTATATCCGGCGACATGCTTGCAATTGCAAAAATAGTATCAAACATTGATACTATACCTTTGTCTTTTGTTGGCTGAGTTTCTGCACTGTATACTGCTAGACCATATATAGTATAACTGTCCAACAACAGTGGATCTGCTACATTAAGACCATCTGTCTTGTTTACGGAGAGCAGTTCGTCAGAATTAGTGTCACTGATGTAAATTACTTCCTTGAAAATAATAAGAAAAGCAAACAAATAATTCCATTTCACAGATTATCTTGATTCTTGTTATTTATTTCCCGGTGGGTCTGTGTTACTAACAGAGTGTGAAAGACAGTTCTTTACATTTCGACAAGTAATAGGTATTTTCTGTAAAAAGACTACGTAACATATCTTGATTTTTTTCAATAACAAGATTTTTTTCTCATTTAAACAATGTAGGTGTGCTGATTAAAAGAAAAGAGTAAATTCCTTACTACTAAAATTTTAGGTGTTGACTGTAACCAAAGTTTTTATTAGGAAAGTTATAATATTAAAATAAAGATATCAGTATGCATTTACAAGCGTATATGGATAATAAATTTTGCCATGCTTAAAGTATTATTTTTATTTAAAAATTTAACAAACAGTTACCATAGAAGAATTGCGTCAGATTAAGTGATGGTATTGAATACTTGAGATGTATTGCTTTTATGTTATATAGGGGAAATATCAACAAGGATTCTAGTTTAAACAAGAACCAAATGCTGACCCTAAAAATTGCCAAGTCATGTAGACTAGATACGTCATATCGTGTAATATGACGTTCCCCGGTACCGTCATAATTGGCGCTATGGATGGCCTCCACATGTATCCAGTAAATACGTTTATCTGCAATGTCCACGGTCATCTGACCTGGACTCGTAACACCCTTACTCACGATTGTTTTACGGTTACTTCCGGTCAAATCGGATCTTTCAATTTTAGCCCCCTTTCCGGAATCTGACCAAAACAAGTATCTATAATATGAGAAAAAAATACATAATTATTATTAAAAAAAAAACAACAACAAACAAACGAATAAACACCCTACGTGTATTTTTATGTGAAAGCAAAAATAATTTTTCGGGGTGGGAGTAGGGTTTCGGTAGCATTTTAACTCGCTTCAATACTGTAGGGTCATATTTGGGTATATTTTAGCTTTAATGTAGTGGGAAAACCTCAGATGCCCCTCCGTGCATTATTTCAGACACGAAGAGGCTCTTGAGTAGAACCACCGGCGTTCCATAAGCTAGATTGTCAGCTTCCTCAAATGAAAAATGGTTTGAATTCACCATAATCACTCGACTAAGGACGGCCATTTGTAAAATTTATAAAACTATTATTGGTAGATATCCTACAAAACATATACACAAGTATCAGAGACAGTCATTGCTTTATGAAACTGTTGCATATTGATAATACCATGGTGTTTTATATTACATTAGAGTGTCTAATAAAATGCATTCCTTTGTTATTGGTTTTTTGCCCTACGTATAATGCGCATGCGCAAAATGCTACTTCCGTTTCTATGGAATTATCGTTTTGTAAAAATGGCTGTATTCAGTTACGTATCTTTATGTATGCTAAGCATTAAATCGAGTATTATTCTGTATTTTTTTACTCTTTTTATTTGCGAAAGTATATATTCTGCAAACAATTATGTGATGTGTTTTATTTCTTCTTTTTTGTTTACAACAATAGGTAGTTCAATAAGAAATTATGATATATCTGCGGTGTTTTAATTCAAAAATTTAAGACAAGATGATCACTGAGGGTGGACCTTTACTGCAAAATGGAATGTTAAAGATAATTTGACATTAATAGTATACCGCTAAAGAAAGGAAGTGATCAAAATCTAAAATCAACTAATTGACAAAATGATTTGATAAGGTTGTGCAGTTAAATAGTTTAAACTGTTACAATTCAAACTGTTTGAATCCTTTTAAAACTTTAAAAACACTGGTGTGGATAACGTAAATTTCGTAAACAACGAAACACGACAATTTTATTTATGCTAACCCTTCTAAAGGATCCACAGCAATGCCCGTTGGTTTGTCCAGATGATCATGTATGATGACTTTGAAATAATCCTTACTAACTTTGTCTTTATGAACAGACGCCGCCACTATCCACCTGTATGTGACATCGCACCAATACACTGTCTTAGACAGCCAATCAACGGCGAGTTGAATCGAGTCCAGAGAAACCCCATAATGCACTGCATCAAAGACCATGTTGTCAACATCCAACGCTTTGCTGTACCCGCTCAGAAAAAGAATAGCTCTGGAAGAAAGACATGCCGCTGTTATGTTTTAGCTCAAGTATTCAAATGCTTTTAATTGTTGAAATAAATATGGTGTAAGTCGTTTCTACGGGGCGTGAGAGATTTTTGTACTTCATTTTGGAGGTTTGCTGCTTTAACATACTTTTTTACCTAATTTCTACCAACAGTAATATTTTTAACATGTGAAAATTATACTAAACTTGTCTCAAACCATAATTTATCATTAACAAGACTTAGTATTGATTTCAGCTTACTTATCGTCAATATTAACGAAACGAAACATCGCTTTTTCTGGCATGGTTCTTTATTGCCTGTCAACAGTCTTACTTATTTTTCTTTTACGCGTCTGTGTAAAGTCCTTTATCAAAACCCCTCGACCAAGGACACGAATGTCAGCCATTGTACCTAGCAGCTATATTAACTATTTAGGTGTGAAAATTCAATTGCGTTACTTAATTTCAAGTTTACTAATGTGAAAAGGTATAAAGGAACTTCCAAAGTAGTTATAAATCAGAGCGGGCGCTGTGGTGCAGTGGTAACACTATCTGAATACAAGTCAAGGGGTTGCGAGTTCGATCCCCCACTACTCACATATACGACACTGCTCACACACACGACACTGCTCACACACACGACACTACTCACACACACGACACTTCTGACAAGGACGACACTTCTGACGCACATTACTGACACACAAGACACTACTGACACACAAGACACTACTGACACAAAGGACGCAACTGACACATATAACAATACTCATACACAAGACACTACTGACACAAAGGACACTACTGACACACAGCACACTGCTCACACATACGACACTACTGACACACACGACACTACTCACACACACAAGTAATTTCACGTACGACACTGCTGACACACTGGCCACTACTGACATACAGCAAACTACTGACACACAGGTCACTACTGCTGTGTGTCACTTCACGCACGGCACAACTCACAAATGCCACTACTAAAACAATGGCCTTACACACAGGACACTACTAAAACACAGGACACTACTGACACACAGGGCATTACTCAAACACTGACCATATACACTGATCTGCCACACAAGCACTGACACACATGACACAACTACACACAGGACATTTCTCACACACTGACCTGCCACACAGGACACTTTCACACACTAACACACAGGACACAACTCACACACTGACACACATGACACTATTTAAACACTGTCCTGACACACAGGCCAATTTTCACATACTGACACACAGTGCACTTCATAAACACTACTCCTACCACTACTACTTATTTGCATACTCCTGCGATACATTTTATGTATCGTGCGATACATAAAATGTATCGTGCGTATGTATCGTTTGTCACGACAAAACCAACATAGTGGGTTTGCGACCAGAGCCTGCGCATCCGCGCAGTCTGATCAGGATCCATGCTGTTCGCTATCAGTTTCTCTACTTGTAATGAGTTGGTAAGCGAACAGCATGGATCCTGATCAGACTGCGCGGATGCGCAGGCTGGTCTGGATCCATGTTGGTCGCAAACCCATTATGTTGGATTTGTCGTGACGCGGCTCAAATGTGCACCTATAATTCTCTTCGTACGCGTATCCTGTTTTTGCTGCAAAGTCTATATCAATACTGTCAAATCTCAAGCTTGAATCGTCAAAAGATATGCCATCAGCCAAAACACTGGATACATTTTCGTATCCAGGGAACTTTTCAAGATGTTTCAATTTCTGGTCGTCTGGGTATGCATAGACACTCATAACAATCCCTCTTTCTGAAAAGGAAAAGATTGGTTTAACCGTTTTATCAGCTGAATTTATTAGATTGGTTAGCTTAGCTTTGAATTTGGAAGAATACATCTAAAGGTTAAAGGAACTTCACCGAATGTTATTGTTAAAAAATGCAGATATTACCTACGTGGGGATGACAGACCTATATCACTCGGCGCTTTATCATTGATTCGGATTCTTATGCAGTAATATTACCCTAAATAAAACTATACGAAATGATAAAGAAAAAGGAGAAAAACTAATGCACAAGTACCAGTACTGGAACGGCCCTTACCTTCCGGCATCTGTGAACTGACATGGTGGTAAATTATACAAAATATGAATGATGTCACCAGTTTCGTCATCTTGGTACTTTGGTAGTCTTACTCTTACAGTCTCTTGAAATCGCTTGAAATGGATAAAAAGGACTATTTACAAATATCTGATCCCTCGGAAACATTAAAAACAACGAAAAAAGAGCAAAATTGCAGACTCGGTTTGATTAATTGTTGGTAAACTTGTGACTTTAGACGATTGTGTAAGATTCAATATTAAAAATCAAACTCTACATCATACATAATATATAATAAAGTTTGAACTCACATCGAAACTGTTATTAAGATGTTTAGTTAGAACGGCGGGGAATTGAAAAGTTGAAATGATTTATGACAACGGGGCAATTGGAGTGTAACCATGCACATCATTAAGACTTTTGATATAAGTTAATGTCAATGTCATTTTTAAATCTAGGTATTTAGAATACGACGGGTGAACCACTTGATTTAGAATTCTATCTTCTACCTATTATCTACTTCCAAAGTATCAGTCAAATTCATTTTAAAGTACCGTTTGAACGAAAGTTATGGTCTAGCAATTTTCAATTTCTTTTTTAATTTAATTGCCATCTGGCCTATATAAAAAAACGTTTAAAGAGTGAATGATATTTTTTAAACAGGGATAAATTCAACAAGAACAACGCTGCTTCGGTATTTTATATTAATTAATTAATAGCCATTGGATTTGGATTGCATGTAAAAATGTTTCCTGCAAATTGGAACATTATATTACATTATATTAATAAAAATCAAAGGTTGTGAATGCAAATAATATTCACTTGAGTAATATAATTTTATCACGTAACATATTAAACATGTACATGTATTATTAATATAATAATAATGATATTAGCCTTGTTTATATGAGTATTAAACACATGTGATATATAACTGGTCCATAAAGCGAAGATTGTGCTGTTTTTCGGCATCTTTTGGCTTTGTAATTGCATGTTATAAAAATAATTGTATTCATATATATAGAGGATAATAAATGAGTACAAGTTCAAACTAAATGTATTCAACGAGTTTACTAAATTTAGTGTTGAGCATACACGAATATAGTATACTATTTATCACACACCTAAAAAAACTCTTTTTTTTTCCAGTTAAATTTACCATTTTTAATGGCGCACTAAATGTGTAACGCTAACATTTAGCGCTCTGTAACACCACACTTTGGGATCCAAAGCACTTTTGGGTCAAAATCGAGAAATTGACTCCAAAATTGGACCCCAAAGTGTGTGTCGCACTCTAGGGTCGGACCCGAAAGTACGTTGGTCCCCAAAGTGCAGTGTTACAGAGCTTGTTTACCCTTTGTTTCTATACATGTACATCAAGATATATATGCACTGCCACACATTATCGTTTTACAGAGTAAAAACTGCACAGGTATGTTAAAAAGACTTATATCAAATCGTCTTATGACTGACTAGTTTGCAGTTCTTAAAACTCTCGTATCATATCATAAAAATTAACAAAAAAAAAATATTTTATTTTAGGAGAGAATGCTTATGTCGCACCAACACAGTAGGTCATAATTATGGCCGAAATAGCCGAATTAGAATACCACAGCGGTGAAAGCCAACTGGTTTGAAGTCAATGCCCTTCACCATCCGGCCAAAGACTCCACGGTAATGGTAGAAGTCAGTTCATTTTTAAACAACTTATGTGAAATAATGAAATATCATTTTTTTCTAAATTGAATAAGAACGTTATCCATGGGTATCTTTTAACAGCAGGTGCAAAATCTATACCTAAAATCTATCCCTTGTATAAAAATCGTAAGATTGCTACGGTCTGGTAAATTTCAGTTTGTTCACATCAGATTGGAATTGAATACATATGTTTCTATAGATAAAGTATATCATCTTTGCAAAATATCAGCTTGCCAGGATGTGGTTCAATGCTCAATTAAGTTATAATTTTGACATAATTTTGACATGTCAACTTAATGTCCAATCAAACTGGTCAAATGGATAATCTATTTTTTAAATTATTAAAATATTTGTATTCAATAAACGACAACTCTTTGTTTATCTTTATCTCGACATAATATTCTGATATGTTTTTAAAAGATGAATGTTGAGGAATGTGTATACATTTTTAGATGGTTTTCTTAATGTTTCATCAAACATTTATTATACGCATTCATACGCTATATTGTAAACTTACCGAGCAATAAATTTCAACTACTTAAAAACAACAACAACATGGACACTTAGAACCAAATGCTAATGTTGCATGGAAATGATTTTATAACAACAAATGTACATTACATATATTTGTACTTTGAAAGACATATACAAGTGGTCTTTATGGCTGTCCTTTGAAAGTATATTTTTCATTTAATACAGTATCAGTTGTCACACATTACAATGTATTTGAGCCCAATAAATAATACTTATATATTATCATTTGCTTTATAATTAACCTCTTAGTACTAAGGGCTTATATGATTTGATATTACAGTGCATCTTAACTCAAAACGTGTATTTTTTTACGACTATGCACTAAAAGAAATAGATAAAAAAATGAAATTTTCAAAATTGGTAAAATGTTAAAATTTTGATGCTTGAATAAAACAAATGACGGACTTTTTATGTCATTTAAACGCCAATACGTTTATGACGTCAGTCTATTGCTATGAATCAAAACTACTGTAAACTCCGCTTATAACGATATTCAGGGACCGCCGAAATTATATCGTTAAATCCAGATATATAGAGAATAATAGGTTGGTGCCGTGGATGGAGAAAGTTTATCTGGCGAGGCGGAGGAATTGTTTCTATATAAACAAAACTTTGTTTGTTTATTTATTTCACTCTATAATTTTTCAAGCGAAATAAAAATTATTAAAAGTGAAATAAATGTAAAACTTAACTCGTTTGCGACCTTAAAATAGCGTACTTTAATACACTTGTTACTATATATAGTAACAAAATTGCCTATGATTTCAACTGATTATGAGTGTCACGTGACCTATTATGAGTTTGCGGCCCGGGGCCGAGAACTAGTTATCAGCCCGCAGAACATGTGCACGTGCACAAACTGAAACAATGACGTCATATTTTACGTCATCAAACAGTTAACTGTAAAAGTGAAAGTAGGTTGTCAGCACGAATCGTTTTATTTTTATTATGAGAGCTTAAGCGTATTTAGTACAAACACATTTTTGTTACTATTGAAATTTAAAGAAATAATACGACAAATTCATTCCGAAAAAAAAATGAAAATAAAACTTGCTTCTAGATTCTACTGCTTTGAACACACAAACAGTAAACATCTCTGTACAGTACTGTACAGAACAGTAGAAAAGTAGACAAGAATTTCAACGAAAGAAATTCAAAGTATTTGTTGTTTTTTTTAAATGCTACTATTAGATCTCCCAAGTGTATTAAAGACATTAATACACGTCAGAGTAGGGCCTGAAGGTGATAATCGGCCCTGAATGAATAATGGCCCTCGGGCTAAAGCCCTCGGGTCCATTATTCATTTTGCGGGCCGATTATCACCTTCCGGCCCTCTCCTGCCGTGTATTAACCTCTTATGATTTGATTGTTTTGCACGTGCTGTTTGGCGCTACATTGTGACGTCACGTAAACAATACTTTAAACGCCTGTACAGCATTAACGACTGAATAAAAGATATTGGTGTTCGAATTCATTTTCTTAGTTAGACCATTTTCTTTCATTCTAGATAGTTTTTACAAGAAAATTCGACAAAAAATTGTTTTTATTTATCACATTTTTCAAACAAAATGGCGCCCTCAATGTGAAAATACACAGGGAGATAGTAAGAACGGCGAGTGCATTGTTGTAGAAAAATGCACGCTTCGGGCCTTCTTTGTTTATATAGAAACATTTCCGATAGTGTGATTATTAAAGGTAGTTTGCCTAATAAAATTCTTTAAAAAAAACTGTGACAGGATAAATAGAATAATAGATTGGTGCCGTGGATGGAGAAAGTTTATCTGGCTCTGCTCCGGAATTTATTGGGTTCGCCTTCGGCTCACCCAATAAATTCCTCCGCCTCGCCAAATAAACTTTCTCCATCCACGGCACCAACCTATTATTCTCTATATCCGAGAGGCAACAATTTTAGACCTCGGCAGCAGCAACGTTATAAGCAGCATATCGTTTTAAGCGATATAACGCTACAAGCAGTATATCTTTACAAGCAGTGTATCGTTATAAGCGGTATATCGTTATAAACGATACCGTTATAAGCGGAGTTTACTGTACCACAGATCCAATATCTCTTTTAATACATAGAGTATTTTGACCACATATTGTTTCTCTAGTAACATAAACGTTGTTGTAATCGAAAAACATGATAGTTCACATAGATTCAAAGTATAAAATTTCCATATTTATTAACACAATTCTTTTAATTATTTTTTTTAATTTATTATTACTTTTATTACTTTATTTATTTATATTTTTATTTATTTATTTTTTTATTTATTCATTTATTTATTTTTGTTAGCCAAAATGGACATACCTGTAGGATAAAATCCACAAATATAGCAGTTACAAATTCCACTTAATTCTGAACATGCAAATTTTGAAATCAAATATCTTCATGAATTTTACCGATTGGGTGATAGCATAGTGTTTAATCCAAAAAAAAATTCGATTAACATACTTTCAAATATTTAAGGTTAAGTTATATAGGGCGCTACAAAATTCATTTTGAATAGGTTTAGGTAAAATCTTTACATTTCTCTCTTATTTTTCTATTTTCGGTTGCGCTTCTTTATAAAAAAAAAATACAAATCAGAAGCATACTTTTAGCTTGGAGTTGAGTGAAATTCTATAGACTCTTTGTTATAACACAATAAAGAACTACATTGTATGTGTTTTCATAAATATTAGATACAAGTTGTAAATTATAATGTTACGTAATATATCTTTTTTTAATTATAAGTGGTTAATTTAACCGTCTTTTAATATTAAACGAATTTTTAAACGAAGTTTGATAACGTCTTGTGTATTTATTTTTTCTCGTCTCAAAATTTATTTGATGCAGACGCGTGTTGAATGCTTGCTCATAATAAGCGAGTGTGAATAAACCAAATATTGGATATACTAGTTTATGATATACAAATAAATGAAATATTGAGAAATATCTTTCAAATTGTAATGTCAAAAAAAAGAGAAAAAAATATTTAATGAGCAGAAAATGTAAGGTTTTTTTCTATAAAAAAGGGATTCATTTTCATCTTGTGGTATGAAAAATATCACATTTCAGTCGTGGCTACCACCATTCATGAAACATTTATTTTCATATCACTCGATGAAAATAATAATAACGACGACGATGATGATTGTGACGACGACGAAGATAATGATGATGATGACGACGACGGCGGTGATGATGACATTGACGATGATGATGATGACGACGACAACGATAATGATGACGACGACGACAATGATGATGATGATGACGACGACGACGACAATGATGATGATGATGACGACGACGACAACGACGATGATGATGATGAATGATAATGATGATGATGATGATGATGATGATGTTGATGATGATGATGATGATGATGATGATGATGATGATGATGATGATGGTGATGATGATAATGATGATAATGATGATGATGATGATGATGATGATGATGATGATGATGATGATGATGATGATGATGATGATGATGATGATGGTGATGATGATAATGGTGATGACTACGACGACGATGATTGTGATAGTGGCGATGATGACAATAATGAAAGAAAATAATTGTGTGTGTTGCAATCAAAGATGACAAAAAATCAAACAAAAAGAATAAAAATGACGAATGAAGTGATTAATGCTATATGATAATATATCTTTACAGTTAAAATATCAGAACATGTGTTAAAAAAAGTGATCGACGAAAATTCCAGTATGTTAAGAAAAGTACATGACGTAAATATTATAAATATAAATAAATATTATGCACCTAAATGTATGCATTTCATATTCAAAACATGTAACTTTATCTTTATTAGCACATATGTTGGTGTAGGTAAATCGAGTCCAGTCAATTTGTGAATTTGAATTTCTGTAAGTAATTGAGAGTTTTCTATAGAACTTCTGAATAATTTACATTAAAATATTTAATACTATATTGAAGGCGTGGTGCATATCTTCTCTAGTCTATCAACGTTTTGAACCGTAAAAAATCTGCATCTATTTTTTATGTTTAAAGCAGCATGTCTCCAGATTCATACTTATTTTCATGAAAATTTTGAAAATGTATATAAAAGTTAAAAATATTATAAAGTGAAAAAAAAGTAATTAAAGACTACAAACACCACTTACAATCCACGTAAATTACCCAAACGCAAAAATAGATTTTTGTGTATGTTTTCATTCCAGTGAGAAGGGTAAACAAAGCAAATACAATAATTGAATATACAGGTAAAATGTTCGTTTAGTTTACTTTTATTTCCCTTTATAACGTGATTGTAAATATTCTTTCTTTTTTTATTAAACAGTCAAAGCCGACTGATTGTTTTTTATTTATTCTTTATTATTGATTAAATTTATACTACAAATTATATTAATCAAAGCTTTTACGCCATCGTCCCCAATCATGATTCTGTTTTATTCTGGTATTTTATTCTACAATATGACCATGTCTGTTTCACATATTATTCGTTGTTTTTTTTCCATCAGGCGAAATATACTTTCTGCCTCTGTTTGATGATAGTTGGTAATACTGCACGTTATTTTGTAACGTCGCTTTTCATTGGATAAATTTGGCGTTTATATAAATTATATTAACGGCTGTTGTGAAATTATGAAGTTATTTCATTGTTCCTTCAAGCGACGCGGGTTATATTAACAATAGCCGTTTATATAGGGTCATATATTAAACTGTCAAAAATCTTTATAACTACATATTTACATGTAAAAATATCATAGTACATATATATTTGCTGAAAAAAAATTATTTGAATTTAAAAAAAAATGAAAAATAATAAATGTACTTCCAGGATGCTTGTATGAAATTAATGCATGTATGGTAGAAAATTGCCTTAACAGCAAAACGCGAAAATCATTGCTAAACGGTTAAAACCCTTCTTAAATAGCAGAATATAGTATTTTGTTCCTGTATACATACAAAATGTGTATTAAATAACAGAGATATTCTATGTTACAGTTCTTTTGAGAATCGACTATAAGATTATGGAACCAATATAAACTTACTTATGATGAATTTTTGAAAAATATTATATAAGATATAGCTTTATACCCTTTCAAACAGTCAAATCATAAACGAATTTATATTTCACAAAATGACATACTTTTGCAGTATGGGAGTAGATCTATGATTTATATAAAGCTCAAAGAGAGTACCAAAAAAAGAGTACAAAAATTGATGGTACATCAAAATTGGCTACATGGTGTTTACATCTTAAAGAACCGTCACGTGTCGTCACTTTTAAATAGAAAGCTTGTGAATAATTTATCAATCTAAGTGTCAGTTTAATGAACTTATAAAGGGGTATGTGTGAAAGGATGAAATGTTGAAATGATTAGATGTTCATTAATCCCTTTAAGTATTTTGTGAACTTTTTCAAATAGATAGGTCAAAAGCAATCGTGAACTTCATACGTTCTATTTTTAGTGTATGTTGTTTAACATCATATATAACATATTATATCAATTATATATATTCACGTACTGATTCCGTCCATTAGCTCAATATGTAGAGCGTTGAACTGTGAATCTGGCGACCAGGGTTCGATTCCCGGACGGCGCAGGTCACTTTCGTTGTGATTGATCATAAAATCCTTTCGACGGTTATTCGCACTGTACTTCTGCTCTGGCATGTATTAAGGTTATCACTTCCTTGCAAAAGTGAAAGCAAATAGTACTGGTAAACTGCTTGACAGCATGCCCAGGAACGATGAGGTGACTGAATTGTGCTCTGGTAAATTCAATGTGGCTTACTTTCGTGATCCGGTGTGAAAACTACCAACACCACCACAATACATCCATGTACCTTCTTTAGTAGATTGAGATATATGAAAAATGACTTGTATTAATGTAATTTGTGGTTGTGTCCTAATTAAGTAAATTATTATAATGCCAAAAACTCTATTTACTTTGTGAAAAAAATGCAAAGTAATAAATTCATATGACAAATTATTTCAATTACTTGGCAAATCAATCGATTCGCTGGCTGGTTTCTAGCTAACAGTCATTATGTTGGTTGCGGTGGTCTTTGCAGTTTACCACACATATCACGGAAGTAAGTCTCAGAATTCACTAGAGCACAGTTCATCCAGGCAGGCTGTCAACCAGTTTACCAGTATTAGTTGTCTTCGCTTTCGCAAGACACTGAGGTATTAATGCGGCATACTTAAAAAAATAAATTGTTAAAATTACAACAGCTGCATGCTCTAAAATCGTTATTTGAACGTTATTAAACCGTGTTTGCTCTGGAAAAAAAACTATTATAATAATGTGCCTTTAGCATTCGGTACAGCCAGGCATTAAGGGTAGAACCGTAGCGTGACATAGTATTTTAAGGGGCGAATCGAGTGCAGAAAATATTAGCTGTTTTTCTCTCACTTAAATTGTCTTTGAATGACAATCTAAAAGGTATTTATACCGTTTCTATAAGAAGTACATGGTAAAGAAATATTGCCGTGTAAAATTCCATCAGTACTTTTAAGTACTTGATTTCTATATGTGATGTCAAAGCAAAAAGCGCGCACGATTGTGGCTAAGAAGACCTGTCTCGTGAATAATGATTAGTACGACGACAAAAGGCTGCGAGACGTCGCAGAAACAGCAACGCCTATGCGACAAATTCTCACAAAAACGGTCGTACGACGTGTTGTCGCGAACGTAGAGAGCAACCGAGATGATAGAAATGTCCGTACAACGATACAGACAACGTTGATAAAACTGAGCCCCCAGAGAAATGTATTAAAAACTGACTTCCTCTAAAGGTTCTTATATCTCTTCACATCCCCTTTCTGTTTTATATCAGTTGTCATTAATAGAATAGGACTTAATTTGCTAAGGGAAATGAACTGTCACAATTTGCTAGGATGCTTATTGTTGTCCGAAAAAGCAAAGGGGTTAAAATAACTTCTGAACAAACGAATAAATGAATGAAGCAAAGTCATATTTCTAAAGCTATTTAATGGCACATACCTTCAAAAATATTAAATATTTATAAATCTAAGACACAAATATTTTTGGCTATAACAATAAAACAAATAAAAGTTCATGAAATAAATTATCAAAGTCTAATAAGATGACGATGCATTTTTCTGAGCTAATCTTGCAGTTACAAGTATTTGGTCACCATCTAAAAACTCGTGACTCAATAGATCACGTGCCGTTCCTCTGTCGCGTGCATTAACAATGAGACACGTGTCAATGAAAGATTTCAATCCATCTGATAATTTGTCATAATTCTTTATACTTAGTCTACCATTTCTTTTTATAAGTTTCATAGCACGTGTTCCTTCCTCACGTATATATATGGTGGTTCTCCGTCAATCATTTCTATAAGTGTTATACCATAGCTCCATATATCTATTTTATAATCATACGGTCTCCTGAAATAAATGAAAGTGGTTACATTGTAACAAATATAGCAAATGTAATGTTTGGCAATAGTTTTCACTCCAACAATTGCAACAACTCGGCTTCACCCGACAACTACGTAAGAAAAACCTATTGGAGTCGCCCGAGGTGATCCGAATAAACTAAATATTTAAGTTGAGAAAATATCTTTTTGTCAATACGTCTGCATGATCATATTTGTTCGGAAATACAAGTTATAAAAAAGGGTTTTAATTCGATACTATTTTTTTTTTCTTTTTTTTTTATTATAGATCTATATTGTTTTCATCATTTTGGATATCATAATTCAATTTACATATTTATAAGTATTTTTTAAGGCGTGGAAACGAGATATTTACCATAAATAATAATTGAACAATGGGTTAAATGTTTTGTAAATACAAGTCAAGCCAGATTATAGTGAAATGGAACAGGAAAAGCTTATCTATATATAAAGAATATGTCTGCAATATATTTACTAACCTAGCTACAACTTCCGGTGCCATATAGCACGGTGAGCCAACTATTTCGTTCTTCTTGTCATTCTTATCATATATGTAGCTGGTACCAAAATCTGTTATCTTTACTCTCCCATGTATATCCACCAACACATTGTTGCTTTTGATATCTCTATGAACTATGTTTTCTTTATGGAGATATTCCAAACCTTTCACACATTGACTAGATATGAAACATATTTGTCCTTCTTCTAACGATACACTTCTTACAATCTTCCTCAATGAACACCCATTCACGTACTCCATGACAAGCCAGAATTTCTTTACAGCTTCCACATAAATTGCATCTAGTGCGGTGACAACATTTTCATGGTAAATCCTCTTCATTATGGTGACCTCGTTAGCCAACACTGCAAATGGTTGTTTTTTAACTTCCATGATTTTTATGGCAACCATAGACCCGTTTAGCTTCGCTTTGGCTAAGACCACGTGACCGAAAGTTCTGAAAATATAGCAAAAGTGAAATGAGTTCACTAGAAATATTAATTTGGTGCATTTTTAATATAAGTGAATTTAAAAATAGCAAATCAAGGTGTAAGAGCGTTAGTTAATCGTTAGAGTACATCTTATTAAAAAGATGTGATCAAATTCTCTATGAACTATTCTTGATGTCTAAATCTCACATCAGACAAATTTTGTTCGTCCTCTTGACATTAAAATCATACCAACAGACGAATTATATGTCCTTGACATTGATATATACATTTAACGAACAGACGAACTATACGTCCTTGGAATTGACACATCTTTACAACAGACGAACAATATGTCCTTGACATTTGTATACCACCCAACAGACAAACTATATGTTCTTTACATTTGTATATCACCAAAACAGACGAACTATATGTCCTTGACATTTGTATATCACCCAACAGACGAACTATATGTCCTTGACATTTGTATATCACCCAACAGACGAACTATATATCCTTGACATTTATATATCACCCAACAGACGAACTATATGTCCTTGACATTTGTATATCACCCAACAGACGAACTATATATCCTTGACATTTGTATATCACCCAACAGACGAACTATATATCCTTGACATTGGTATATTAATTAAACTAACAGACGAACTATACGTCATTGGAATTGACACATCTTCACAACAGACGAATTATATGTCCTTGACATTTGTATATCACCCAACAAAGACGAACTATATGTCCTTGACATTTGTATATCACCCAACAGACGAACTATATATCCTTGACATTTGTACATCCGCAACAGACGAACTATATTCCTTGACAATATTGTTATCACCCCAACAGAACGACTATATGTCCTTGCATTTGTATATCATTCCAACAGACGACTATATGTCGCTTAGAACATTTGATTTATCACCGCCCAAACGGACTATATCTATATGTCCTTGACATTTGTATATCACCCAAAGACGAAATATATATCCTTGAACATTTGTATATCACCCAACAGACGAACTATATATCCTTGACATTGGTATATTAATTAAACTAACAGACGAACTATACGTCATTGGAATTGACATCATCTTCACAACAGACGAATTATAGTGTCCATGAAAGTTATCACCAACAGACGAACAATATATGTCCTTGACATTCAATATAATAATATGATCCTGCACATTCGAAACCTCTTCCACAGACGAACTATAGTGCCTTGACATTGTATGCATATCCACACCAGACAGACGAACTATAATGTCCTGACATTTGTATATCACCTCAGACAACGAACAATAATATCCTTGACGCATCTTGTATATCAACACCAGCAACATGACGAACTATAATTGTGAGCTGTGAGAGCGAGTGTGACTAATCCCCAACAGACGAACTATACTGTCCTTGACATTGTGTAATATTCTAATCCTATACTAGTATCGACTTAAACCTTCGACATTATTCACTGTCCCCAACCGACGAACGTATAATATCCTGTGAATTGGGTATCATCTTAAATTAAAATCTATTATATCTATTATCTATATTCTTCATTAATTGACACATCTTCACAAACAGAGAATTGATATATCCTTGACAATTATGTTATACTATATATATCAGACGAACAATTACTGTTCCCTTCGACCAGTTAATATATATATGCACCTTCACATTGAAAACGGGTCTTCATACGACGAACTAATAATGTCCTTGAGAGAGAGAGCATATGAGCACACCAGCAAACAAACTACACTTTTATGATATTTACATCCAACAGACGAAGAAATGCATTCGTCTAATTAGAACATCACCCAACAGACATCGACACTGAGACTCCATTCGGCCAAATTTATTACATCAACCAGCAGAGCAAAGTCTTTATCACATCGACATAATCACGCGTTTCGGACACCAGGCGAACAATACAACCGCTGTTGAATTCACAAAGCACTACAACAAACGAACTGTATGTCTTTGAGATTGATATTTCGCCAACAGAACGAAAGTACTTTCTTGCCCATTTTTAACATATACAAAACTACGAAATGTTTTCTTTAAAAATATTTTTAAACAGCAAAAACGGGCAAAAAAATCATAAAATTTTAAAATCACTAAAAAAAAAGTTTTTACAAACCCCGGATAAGACTTTTTTGGGAGAAATTTTTTTTGGGTCATCCCCTTTTGAAAAATTTCCTTAAAAAGAAAAAATAATAAAAAAAAACGAACAAAAAAAATTGAGAAAAACAACAAAAATTAACATTGTTTTTAAGTACATCAAACATTTCTTGAATACGGATTTTGTTTGCCCTGAAAAAAATTCAAATTTAAAGATCAAAATAAATTTTTTCATCACAGAGAACATTTTAGGGTTGAATAAAAAGATAAATATATAATATTAAAACTCAACAAAAAGGGTTTAAAAACTTTTAAAACTTTTTTTTTTCCACGCTTTATTTTACTTGAAAAAATTGTATCTTTTACTTACTTAACTTTTGTGATATAACAGTCCAAGCGTGGCTGATCCCGTACTTAATTTTTACAAGCGGGTGTCGACAGTCCTAAAATTAAAAGATACTTTGAATTTATACATTTAAAAACAATTTTTAAAATTATATTTTTCAAAAAAATTTTTCTCAAAAAACTCAAAAAAAATGTAGACAACGAAAACTTTTACCTCAGAATATTAAATTTTGGATCTTTCATTAAACGGCCTGTTAAGAATTCTATAATTTTTGGGCCTATTTGATTTTTATTAATTAAAAACCAATTGATATTTTTTCTGGAATAATGAAATTGTATAAAAATATAGAAAAAAATTGAAAATACATTAAGCGAAACAGTCTTGCAATTAAGAAAGAAATTTTTTTTTTTCCCCGTATGGGTTTTGGGGGGGTCGGGGGCACCCCCTCCATACCTTAAAAATTTTTTTTTATCAATTATATAACTTTAAAAATATTTTTTGTTTTGTAAATTTTTGATTAGTCATTGAGTATTAATCAAATTTAAAAATTTCCCCAATATTTACAAATTACTTAAAAATAAAAAACAAACAAAATACAAAGGGAAATAAAGAAAGAAAAAAGGGAAAAGGGAGCTCTAGATTGAACAGGAAAAAATTAGTTTTGTTTTTTTATCTAAATTTTAAGAAAAGCAATGGCTTATATTAATAAATTAAATTTTTCATTACTCAAAAAAAATTTAAATGATTTTTTTTCAATTTTCCCAATTCATTATGTATTTTTTTTATTTGTTGCCCTGCTCAATAATTAAGACTAATTTTAAAATCTAATTATCCCTATATTTGGAAAAATTTCTCCCCTAAATAAAAATATTTTTTTATTTAAAAATGAAGTACTTTGACTGGGGTTTTTTTTGTATAAATAAAAAAAGTTTAAAAATCAAAATTAATAAAGCCCGATTCAACAATTTTTTTAATTTTTGAAAATATTTTTTACAAAAGCATTCCCAAAAAAGGGTAACAATGTTTTTGTCTGATTTTCAAAAAGAACATACTTGTCCAATAAATTTTTTTCAAAAGAAGATAATTAGTAGTAATATTTATTGTTATTTTGTCTGAAACTTGCATAAAATCAGGGGTTTCCCCAAAAAATTTTTATTCGCATTGATTAAAAAAGCAAATTTATTTTCTGAAAATTTGAAATCACATTTTTATGTTATATTTAATTGAGTATTTAACCAAAGTAGTTGGAAAAAAAACCAAAAAAGGGAGAATGGAAGAAATTTAAATTTTTTCACATAAATTTAAAAATTAAACACTTCGTATTTCTTGAACACTTGTAATTAATTATAGAAAATAAAATTTACTTTAATGCCAAATTTGTTTTTTCCTTTCAGGAAAAATACCTTTCATTCATAATTTTTTGATAAACTTTATTTATAAATGTTTTTTAAAAATGGTTTTTTTATCCCTCAAAATATATTGGTTATGCAGAGGCATTTTAAAAACATTTCCCTAGAAATAACGGTGTTTTTTTTCTACAAATTCTACATAACCTAAAACATCTTTCAAAATGATTTTTTCAAAAAAATTAAAAATATATGCTGTATATAAATTTCCACAATTAAAAGCTTTTAAGAAATTTAATTAAAAAAGAATTGACCCAAAAAAGTTTTAAGTAATTTATACTATGTGATTATTTTCTTGATTATTTAACCCGGTTTTTTTTTTTTCTTTCATTTCTTTTTTTAAATTTTATTGAAAAGGGGTAAAATAATGGGGATTAAGTTCATATAACTATTTTTGAAAATTATACTTTTAAAATAACAAGCAGTGATAGTTTTTTAAAAACCGTTTAAACAGTCAAAAATCAAACGTAATCAAAAATGGCATAAATATGCTTTTTTGGGGCATTTATAAGAAAAATTTTATAAATAAAGGCAGACAAAAAGACATTAAAACTATGAAATGATTATTGAAACTGTTTAAAAAACATAAATACCTTTGCTTGTGTTTGAGAAGATTTTTCTTTAAACTGTCTTTTTTCAAAAGTTGGGTAAAGTATAATTTTATAATTTATATCGAAAACATTAAAAATTATACTGTATGAAAAAAAACAATTTTTAAAACTAACAAAAAGGAAAAAATTATAATAAATACAGAATTATTAATATGGATAAAAGATAGATATTTACCTAGTATGTAATGTTTCGAGGGAAAAACTGAGAATTCCGACATCGAAAACATTTTTTCATTTGCGTATAGGGCCGGTAATTCTGAAGTAAATAAAATTTAGCATTTAAAAAAGGGGTTTTTCCTTAAAATAAATTTTACATAGTGTTGAAAGAATAAACTAGTAAGTATAATATGTTAATTTTATGTACGTAATAAAAACCAAGTTAGTCGATCTATAAGGAAAAATATTCGTAGATAACCCCTTTAATTTGTTTATTTTACTCACCCAACCCCGCCCTTTTAAAAATAAATAAACAAATTTTTATATTAATTCATGATAAATTTTTGCAGTTTTTAAAACCATATTTTCAAAGAAAATAATTTTTTTGGGATAAAAACCAATAAAAAAACAACTATTTTTTCTGTTTATATCACCAAAAAAACATTCCTTTCCCTTTAAAAAAAAAGTAGAAGATCTACAGCATTGTAAGCTTTGTTTCCGGGGATGTACAAAGATAATTGATGAAATAAAATATATCAAAAATCTATTTCAAGTTCCAAATTTAAACGAAAGTTTGCGCATTTAATATTTAATTATCAAAAAATTTGCTGGTGAGAAATTTCCATATCAACTCAAAAAAAAAATATTTTGTTTACCTTTTTTTACCCCCTTGTCCATTTTCCTAGTTTATAGAAGTCGCGTTTTAACATCTCTAAATTTATTTTCTTAATTAAAAACAGTTTTTTTCATGATTTTATGTGATTAGAAATACTGTTGTTTAGCATAAAGTGTTTTCCAATGAATGGCGTAACGTCATCGACATATGATATCCGATCATAGACGTAAACGCAAATTTTATTTCGTCTCAAACCGTTTGTTCTAAATATCAGTTTGCTAATTGTTTTCCCGTATTTTAACACAGGACAAATGAATCTGATCAAAAATTTTTCAAATGAGGATGAAAATCAATTTTAAAATGTAGACCCTTAATGATAATTTTTTTAAATTTCTAATAATATATCATAAGAAAGAAGATATAAACAAGGTAAAAAATGGAAAAACTTTTGGCTCCCCTTTTGTTATAAAAGGCTGTCCGAAATTTTTTTAAATGATTAAAAATTTTTGTGTATACGAATATATTTTTATTAAATAAAGGAGTTTAAATTATGTGTTTTAAAAATCCCCTTTTTAAATTTATAAAAATTTTTTTAACACGAAGTACGGGTAGGGGTTAAAAATAAAGCCTTACAATTTTTTTAATTGATTTTAATTTTTCAAGATATTTTCATAACATTTTAAAAGAAAATTGTATTTAAAGTTAATCTTGGTACTTAAAGTAACTTGCCCCGATAAAAAATTAAACTTGCACGTATAAAGGGAAATTACACCCAAAATTTTTTTTATAAAAATTTTAAAAAATTAAAAATATAATAAAAAATTTTAAAAATTAATATTAAATTTTTAAAATTTTTGAACGAGTTAATAAATCATATTAGAGGCCCCTTTGGGCATAAATTGATTTATTCACGAGTTCAAAGAAAATTTTTATTCATTCAACGTTTTAATATTTTTTTTTCAAATAGAAAAGAAAGTAAATGTAAAAAAGAGTATGTTTTAAAATGGCCTATAGTTAAATATTCTATGTGTGCCTA